GTTCAAAAAAATCTGCAAAGCAAGTTTAATTTATTGTATTGATATTTAATATTGTTGATGATAATCATAAAAATAAGTACATAGGTCAGAAGAGGCAATTAAACTCCTATTTCAAATGGAGATTATTTTAACACAAATGTAAAATGTAAATTTTAATACAAAATGTAAAAAACAGATTCTATTGTTTTATTCAGAATTTATTCCCATGTTCTGTTTACTTATACCTGTTGGTGTCATTTGTAATAAAAATTAATAAATGACCAAAAACATTAAAAAATATTTATATTACTAACTTACTTGGAAGTTATATGTCTCTTTAAGGTTACTAAGAAGTACATCCTTGGAAAAGGACCCACATGTGCAAAAATATTTATAGCAGCTCTTTTCGTGGTGGCAAAGAATTGGAAATTGAGGGGATGCCCATCAATTGGGGAATGGCTGAACAAGTTGTGGTATATGAATGTAACGGAATACTATTGTGCTATAAGAAATGATGAGCAAACAAACTTCAGAAAAACCTGGAAAGACTTGTATGGACTGATGCTGAGTGAAGTGAGCAGAACCAGAGAACACTGTACACAGTAACGGTAACACTGTGAGATGACTGACTTTGATAGACTTAGTTCTTCTCAGCAATGCAAGGATCTAAGACATCTTCAAAAGTCTCATGATGGAAAATGCTATCCACATCCAGAGAAAGAACTATGGGGTTGGAATGTAGATAGAAGCATACTATTTCCTCTCCCCCCCCCCCTTCTCTTTTGTTTCTTCTTTCTTATGGTTCCTCCTATTGGTTCTAATTCTTTACAACATGACTAATGTGAAAATATGTTTAATAGGAATGTATATGTGGAACCTGTATCAGATTGTCTTGGAGAGGGAAGTAGGGAGGGAGGGGGAGAAAATTTAAAACTCAAAAGCTTATGGAAGTGAATGTTGAAAACTAAAAATAAAATAATTTTAAAAAAATTAGTAAAAAAAAAAAAGTATGTCCTCCATTTTTAGAACTCTGGAGTCAGAGGACCTGGGTCCAAATTCCAATGCTGATGTTCGCTACCTGTATTTACCTTGGGTAAATCACTTATTACCTCTGAGCCTCAGTTTTTTCATCTATAAAATGGGGGGGGTTATACTAAAAGACTTTTAGGGTTCCTTCAGCGCTATTTCTATTATCTTATGATCCTATGACAGACATTTAAGTTTGTTCTGTTAGAAATTTCCCTGAAGTGACAGCTTACTTCAAAATCAAAAACTCCACTTTGTGCACAGGAGACCAATTACATATAATTCACTCACAGAAAGGTTAAGAGTGAAATAAATTCTGTGAGATAGATACTCCTCATAAGAACATGCCTATCCTCCAGCTGAATTCCTTCAACTGATTCTTTCATTTTTTATGCACAAGCTGTATAGATGGTTAAGATGTTCAGGTATTAAGTCCTAGTTTGGTGCTTGAAGTCTCCCACTGATGCCCTGAATAAAGTGGAATTGGGTTCAATCAATGCTGACACTCTAGAGATGGATGTTGGGTTTGAATATATACCAAGGCCACGGTAGCCCTTTTGAAGCCAAGGATTTCCTTAGGAAACTTCAGGCTTACTCTGACATATCCCAAGTGTGGATAGATGGTCCTTGTCCAGGTGAAAGGGGTCCATAAGCAAATGATGATGACTTGAGGCTTACTGTTTTAGGGATCTCTGGTGACTTGTGTCTGGCCCCGTTTACTGGAATCCAGCACGATGGCCCATCCAGACTAAGCCTTTAGCAGAAGAAAGATCTGCTTCGGTGGCTGAGCCTTGCCAGCAGTATTCCCACATAGGCTGCTAGAATCTCTGATTCCCTGAGTCTTTACTTTTCCAAATGGTTCTCTTTCTCATCAGGTTCTGTGTAGTTTTCTGGCTTTGTGTATACGTGAAGTGGTCTCTTGTTTGGGTTCTGTGGCCCATAATCAAGAGGTCCTGCAGCTAATAGAAATCAGATACTGTTGTGTTGGTTCCACCCTTTCAAATGAAGGCCAATTTTCATACTTTTTTACTCTTAACAACTGGCCATAATTCACTGATTCATAATTGCTGATAATCTCTAGCATTTATGACTTCTATGGCTTTGGTCTCATTTTCTGGAACTGGGTTTCTTCTTCAGCATGCCTTTTTTCCTAAAGTTCCCATATATTTTTTTTTAAATTCAAATTTCTTTTATTTTCAGTTCCATATTCTCTCCCTCCCCTGACTTCCCTTTGCCTACCCATTGAGAAAGCAAAAAAACAAAAACAGAACTCCTTACAAATATGTATAGTTAAGCAAAACAAATTCCCACATTAACTATGCCCCTGCTTACCCCCCCACCCCAAAAGAAACTGCCACAATTTGCACTCCATCAACCCTCTCTCTCGAAGATTTAGCACGTGTCGTTACAAATTCTTTGGGACTATGAGCTCTATCCACTGTGCCCCATCCTTCATCATTTCTTAAAGTACAATAGTATTCCATCACAAAAATTTACCAAAACTTGTTTAACCATTCTTCAATTGATAGGTACTCACCCCCCCCCATCAGTTTCTATTTTTTTTTCTACCACAAAAAGCTGCAATAAATATTTTTGTACATATAGCCCTTTTCCTTTTTATGTGATTTCTTTGGGGGTATAGACCTAGTAGCAGTATTGCTAAGTCAAAGGGTTGCTGTTGCTTTCCAGAAACGTCAGACCAGTTCATAGTGTTATTAATGGGGCATCAATATGCCTGTTTCCCCACAGCCCCTCCATCATTTGTCACTTTCCCTTTTTTTTGGTCAGTCTTGCCATTCTGATGGGTGTGAAGTGGTACTTGAGAGTAGTTTTAATTTGTATTTCCTTAGTTTTTAGTAATTTCAAACTTTTTTTCATATGGCTTCAGGTTTTCATTTTTTTCTGGCTTGGACTACTGCAACAGCTTCTTGAATGCCTGCCTCCAGCCTCTCTCCCTTCTAAATCACCTATTATACCGTTGCCAAATTGATATTACTAAAACACAAGTCTGACTATGTCATCCCCTTGCTGTAGAAGCTCTCCTGCCCCTCAGATTAAAGGAAATTCTTGCTCAGATTTTAAAGCTCTTCACAATGAGGCTCCAAACTGCTTAGCCTCCATAAACTGGCGTGGGATTATGTGACATTCCATTCCCCCCATATTTTTGGACAAGCTGTCCACCAGGGAGTTCACTCACTCCACACTTTTACCTTTTAGAATCCCTAGCATCTCACTGTTTGCCTTTTGTATCCCCACAGCTTACTTAGCACATTGCCTGGCACACAACAGGGTTTTAATAAATGCTTACTGTTAGAATGACTAAAAGTTCAGCTCAAGTACTACCCCCTCTATAAGGCTTTTCTCTTGATCACCTTATTTGTTAGTATCCTCTCCCAAGAAAATACTCCACATGTACTTTATCTGTGTTCATATTGATTCCTCTTTATTGATATAAATTCCTTGGGGGCAGGGGCTGTTTTTTTTTTTTTAAACTCTTGTAGCCCAGCATTTAGCATTTAATAAATGTTTGTTTTATTGACCCGAACTGGGCCAGCTTTCTCCTCAGGTTCTTCCTCCCCTAGTCTTCACCTCCACAGGAAGCTTCTCATATTGGCCACAGCAGTCTGCACCACTTGGCAGCTCAGGATCATAAATTATTACTCTTAACTTGGCAGCTCCCTACTCTTTACCTCGTCATGGCAACACAGGCGTCTTGCTCCCAAGTCTACCAAGCAGGCTGAAGCAGATCTCAAGGAGAGAGGAACAGGAATGAGGGAATGCAGAGCTCTCTTGGCTTCCCACAATTCAGTCCAGGGGAATCCACGTAAAGACGAACCTGAGCAGATCCGTTGACCAAGCTTTTCCCGATTCCCCTAATGCTAGTGCTCATTACCTCCAGGTCACCACAGCTACCTATCTACCTGTATACTGTGTGTAAAGATGTATCTGTGTGTGTGTGAGTATATGTATACATGTGAGCTCCTCCGGTGCAGCGTCTCTCCTATCTTCCTTTGTATCTCCCTCGCTTAGCTCAGTGCCCCGCACGTAGTAGGTGCTTACTGACTGAATGACCCACTAACTACAGGGAAAGAAATGTTCGTTGCCTGGGGGAACGCTGGGGCTGGGGCCGAGGGGCGGGCGGCTGCTGTCCAGGCCCTACCTCGGCTGCCGAGTGTCTCGGAGGGTCCCTTGGCTCGGGTGCCGGGCCGGGAGGGGGACGCAAGGAGAAGGGAGGTCGCGGCCTGGCCTCGGGCCTGCTGCCACACGCTCGCTGTGGGACCTCGGCAAGTCCCTTACCCTCTCTGGGCCTGTTGTCTCGGGTCCAGGGGCCTCACAGTCCCCGGGTTTCCTCCGTCCCATACTCACCCGGTCGCCGACATTCCTCACGTCGCGACAGCCACGACGCGACCATCAGACTACTTATACCAAGAGACCTCCCCACACCTAGGGGGCCGCCAGAGGCTCTGGGCACTGCGCAGGCGCAGTAGGCAGTGCGGGCTTCCCAAATAAAAAACAACCTCCGCCCCAGGGCGCCGTTCGAAGCGTTCTGCGCAGGCACCTCCTGAGCCGTTCGCCAATCGTTGAGGTGAGGGGAGAGGCCTGTCTTTTCGTCCCTTGGGCTTCTCCGGCTCACTGCCCACGTCGGGTCGCGTCGCGCCGGCTGACGCGAAGAGTCACGTCACTTCCGCCCCCCTCCCGGGAGGCGGCGCTGGGCCGGTGGCAATCCCCCGGAGGAGGCGCAGTCGTGAGAGGGAAGATGGCGACGAGCGGCGGGGAAGACGCTGTGGTGGCGGCGGCCGTGGTGGCGGCGGCGGGGACAGCGGCCATGGCGGCGGCGGGGACGGCTCCTGCTGCCCCGGCGCCGGCCCCGGCCCCGGCCCCGACCCCGACCCCGACCCCGGCCCCGGCCCCGGCCGCTGCCCCTACCCCTGCTGCAACCCCAGCCCCGCCGGCCTCGGCCCCGGCCCCGGCTCCTGCCTCAGCCCCGGCCGCGGCCCCGGGCTGGGAGGTGGCGGTCCGGCCGCTGCTCTCCGCCTCTTACTCCGCCTTCGAGATGAAGGAGCTGCCGCAGCTGGTGGCCTCAGTCATCGAGAGGTAGTACCGGGCGGGGACCGGGAGCCAGGCCGGGCGGGGGGGGGGGAGGGGGAGATTCTGCTGCATCATTCCGGCCGCCGCCCCTCCGACCCCCTCCTTCTCCCTCCTGGACCGGACCCGCCCTCCCCGGCCCCGGGGACCAGGGCCGAGGAGCTCGTGCCTCAGTTTCCCCTCGAGAGGCACGTCTTGGAGTCGGAGGAGTGGTAAAAGCGCTGGGTTTGAATCCAGCCTCTGCCGCTGACTCACTGTGTGACCTTGGGCAAGTCACTTCTCCTCCCAAGCCTGAGTTTCCTTTTCCGTAAAAGGAGGGAGTTGGGCTAAAGGATGCCCGAGCTTCCTTCTAGCTTTGACAGTCTGTAAAAGATGCTCCCTCCACCCCCTCCCTTATACATATACCTATGGTATCTTGAACGTGTGCCAGTGAAACTTGAGGAGGGAGACCTTGGGAGGAGCATCGTCGGGCTACAGTGGACAGAACATCAGCTTTGGAATCAGGGGATCCGGAATCAAATCCTGCCTCTGCCACTTAACTATTTGTGTGACCTTGGGCCAGCTGTTTGACCTCTTTAAACCTAAGCTTCCTTATCCCTAAAATGAGGAGGTAGAACTAGATAGCCCAAAGGCCCTTTCCAACTCCTAAATCTATGGTCCTTAGATCTCAGGCTGCCCCTTGGGAGGATGCCGTAGGACTTGGTATTATGGCAAGTTAAAATTTCCTGCTCTGCAGTGTGACCTTGGGCAGTAATAACAGCTCACATTTATGCATTACCTTAAGGATTACAGAGCGGTTTCCTCATAGCTGTCCTTTGATATAAGTAGAACAAATATTATTACCTTCATTTAATAGATGAGGAAAGCTGAAGCCCATGGTCTAAAGTGACTTGCTTAGGATCACCCCAGCTAGTAAGGATTGGAGTCAGAATTAAGTGACTGCATCACTCTGGACCTTAATGAACACCTCTGTGAAATGAGGAGGTTGAACATTTGTAAGATGCATAACGACATTTAGAGTCCGATTTCTCTGTGAATAGGATAGGTAGTGCAAAGAAGAATGAATTTGGAGTTGGAGGACCTGGGTTGGAATCCACACTGTTATTTTATGACCTTTGTGATACTGGGCAAGTTGTTTTGCCTTCGGGCCTCATTTTCCTCATCTGTAACAGGGCCTTTCTAGTTCTAAAACCTTTGCTCTTATGATGAGATTTCATTCCTGGGGCAACCCTTCCTCTCACCTAAGAATAGGGGCCTGAGAAACCTGAGGTTTAAATCAAGAGCCGACCAAATAATTTAACAACTAACAGTCCCCCAGTGGAAATGTAGTCATAGTAACTTGTGCCTTTATGGAGTTTAAGCTATAACACACCACTGATCATTCTCTCTTCCCTAAAGCCAGGGATCAGAAAGCTTCTCTACTCTTTGACCAAGAAGTTAGCATTTTTTCCATGGTGAAGAGTTCTTTTTTCATCTGTAAAAAAAATATGTCTTCAAATCATTTTACAAGCAGCTTGGTTAGCATGTGCCAGAGGATCTTGGAGAGGGGAGAGCAGGTGATGGAGGAATATCAGAGATGTGAGAGTTTCTCTATAGCAGTAGAGTATAGGGAGTTAAGAACAGTAAGGCGTTCCAGGAGACCTAGGTTTTAGACTTATTCTGTCAGTACCTTATTTCAAAATCTAGGGCATTTAGGTTACTTTTCGTAGGGTGATGGTGTCAGAGTCAAAATTTTAAGCTAGGCCTCCTGACTCCATGCCTACCCTAGTATCCATTGCACTAATCTGTAAAACAAGGATATTAGACTAGTTGACCTCTGGAGTTTTCTTTCTAACTCTTTTGACTTTCTCTAAATCTTGTTTTAACATCAGTTTTTCTTATCATGGAGACACTATCACCCTCAGGTTGTGGGAGCTGTTCATTTACAAAGAGATGTTATGCCAGAGTTCCTGCCACCAGATCAGACTTTCATAAATGTAATGAAAGAAATCATCTTTTATGTTAGTCTCTATAGGAGATGACCTTAATTCTGTTTTTTCCAACCAAAACTTTATACTACTCTCTACATTTACTGCTAACTGGGTCACTTTATCCTAGAGCAAAGTAAAAAAAAATGAGAAAGTTTTACAGAAAGTCAGAAATAAGTAGTTATTACTTCAGCAAGTCTCACAATCTGACAGTGTTTGTTTTTATGCCTGGTTGGCATATATCAAATCCTGCTTCACAAGTAAATCCTTTAGATAATTTTTCCTATTTTATTATCAAACCAAAAATATTCTGAAGATGGAGACATATCAAAGTTCTTATCTCAAATTATATACTCTCCTTTTAAAAAAAACTTTTAGATAAGTGGTATTTTTATTTTCCCTGAGTTTTACTCCAGTGTGTTGCTTGAATTGAGTTGCAATCAATAACATTTGGCATTAGAATCATTGAATTTTACAGAATTTTACAGAAGGGGCCTTAAAGTACCTTCATCCTGTCCAACCCCCTTAATTGATGAGAAAACTGAGGTTTACAGTAGTTCAGTGATTTCTAAAAGGGCACAAAGTTGTAAAGCAGAGTTAGGACTTGAAATCTGGCGTCCACAGTCCCAGTCCAGGGCTCTTTCCTCCTCCTCTGCAAATTTGCTTTCAGGTACTTAACTGACATATGCAGATCAGGTCAACTTTCTGGGTCTCAGTTTCCTTTTCTGTAAAATGAGGAAGTTGAGCCAGGTGTCTCAAGAATCTCAAGGCTCTCTACATGAGCATAGACAGTCTTATCATTCTATGAAAGCAGAATAACAGTTATTTGTTTATACACTGCCCAAAAACCAGCAATAGGACTGTTAAATGAAAAAATTAGATGATCTAATTCAGTGAATATGGGCAGTTCGGTGGTGCAGTGGATAGAATGCTGGGCCTAGAGTTAGGAAGTTTTATGTTCATAACTTCAGATCTGGCCTCAGATAGCTGTATGACCTTGGGCACTTAATCCTGTTTGCCTCAGTTTTCTCATCTGTAAAATGAGTTGTACAAGGAAATGGCAAACTACTTCAGTATCTTTGCAAGAAAACCCCAAATGGGATCACCAAGAGTCAGACACAAATGAAACAACTGAATAACAACAACAAAAATATCTGGAGCATATGCTGAAGTCAAGTATAGCAGACCAGATAGGAGACAAAATGATAATGGTCTCTTCCTGCTCCATCCTCTGATAGTTCATGTAATTGAGATTTGACCGTGCCCATACAAAAGAATAAGACAGCTCTTCTTTGTTGTAAAAGCAGTTCTCAACTGATAGGCATTTAACCACAGGTCCTTACTGAAAAAGCTGAATCCCATTGAATCACTGGGCAAGGTTGTGCAGCTTAGATTTGAATATGTGTGCACTATTGTGTCTTCCTTAGAATTCCAGGTGGGCTTTTAAAGGATGAAGATACTGAGAGGATAACTTTTCTATGAATTCTTCATTCTAATGCTGCTATACCACAAGAGCAAATACTTAGGACATGATACATAGACTACTTAGCTCATTGATCTAGTGCTTTATGGTTATACAAATTGCTAAGTGGTAGTATAATGGAGCCCGTTTCTGGAGTCAGAGGAGCTGGTTGAAATCCTTGTTCTTCCATGTATTAACAGTGAGAACTTGGGAAGTTCCTTCTCAAAGCCTCAGTACTTTCATCTGAAAAAAGAGACAGTTGGACTAGGTGATCCCTAAGGGCTGTTCCACTTAGAAATCTGTGATCACTATGATCTGATAGTAAGTCATAGCCAGAACTTGAGCCTAAGCCTCATGACTTGAAGACCAATGTTCTTTTTATTACTATATGTAAAATGGGCTAAATGTTTTACTTAATGGATGGATTATTCAGTTTCCTATATTTATGTCCAGATTCTTTTTGCTTTCCCTCTTTTATTTTGCCATTCCTTCTTTTGTGGGTCCTTAAGCTCCAGTCCACTTTACTCTGGCTATGTTTTTCTTCCCTTTCCCCAATGTCCTCTCTTCCTGCTGCTGTACTTTCTACTACTTTTTTTTTTTTTTTGGCTGTCCTGGCTCTCTTCTACCGGCTTTCACCTCCTACTCTGGCATTCAGAAGCTTCATTAAGTCAGTTCCTCATGACTCTCAGGGGTGATGACATATGAAATAGGAGATTTCCAGGCATTGTGATCCACTCTTTGTTCACTTTTAGATGATAGTTACCTTCCATTCTGATGAAGAAGTGGATGGACAATTACAAGGTCCAGACTCTGCTTATTGAGAATCTATTGAGAATTTGTAATTAGACTCTTGCTGAAATGAAGGAAGAATAGATTAGCATATATAAATTGGTGCTCCATGCTCAGAATTGTCAGAATAATGTAAAAATAATAAGAATAAGTGTAAAAATAATAAGAATAAGTGTAAAAATAATGAAAAATCTGGTTCTGCTTTTTGATGGGCTTATTCTTTCTAACTTTCTGAGACTTGCGTGTATCATATGTGGCCTTAGAACTGCAAGCTATTTAAACACTATCACCTTTCCAAGCTAAGGAACAAATGTATCGTAGCCAGAGTTGGTTCAGTCTAGCACCAATGCTGTGTGATTGGTTAGCTTAATTGATGAGAACTGGCTTTTTAAAGAGAATATCACACAGTGGATTATTTTTTAGTATGCCGCAAATCACTCTAAGCATAGTTGTCTTTAGGGAAGAGCTCTCATCCTCATATACTGAATTTACCAGCTTTTCCCTGAATCAGTGTTTCCTGTGTTGTCACTGAACTTCTTGGTTATAGACTTCCCCTTTATGTAATATAAAGATATTTGTCAAATTATGCCCCTGCCAGAGAGTCCTTAGGCTTTCTCAAAAACAGACAAATTAGAGGCTATAGAGAGTTGTGGATACAGTGCTGAGTTTGGAATCAAAGGATTCCAGTCAGTCAGGCCTGGGTTTGAAATTGCCTTTGACACTTGGCTAGCTGTCACCATTTCCTTCATCTGAAAAGTGGAGATAATAATACCTGTAATACTTTTTTCACATTTCTTGTGAGGTTAAAATAAGATCATGTCTGTAGAGTGCTTTGTAAACCTTAAAGCTCCTCATATAAATATCTGCTATTACTCTTCATTCAGCCTTTATCTCTCTGGAAAAAGAGAAGCGATGAGGAAGGCTACCATTCTTCTAGGTTAATTGCTTTGTGTCATAACATGGTGGTTAACAAATAGAAACAGATCCCCACCACTGAGAGATATTATTTAATTGTGCAGATAAATGACCTAAATCTTATTCCGGTCTTTATGACTTTAGGTAAGTCCTTTAGCTTCTCTGAGTATTGACTTTCCCCTTTCATTCCAAAGTAAACAAGATATCTGGAAAAGGCTTTCATTTCCTAGGTCAACATTTTTAAAAATGCCACTCTGTACATGGAAAAATGTGGGACACCGTGTCTTTGATAGCCAAGAAAGAAATGGGAAAGGACTTCTGTTATCCTTTGACATTTATTGGCTAATGGGAGGAGGGGTTGGATAGCTATACTTTAAAAAGAAAAACTGTGTAGAGAAAATATCAGCAGTAGTAAAGATCAGAAATAGAAGACATTAGTTGCTTGACAGATGAGAATGAAAGTAAATTCCTCTCTACTTTGTACCTCCTTGCCAAAAAAAGAGAAAACAGTTCTCTTTCCTAGCCCTAATCTTTATGATCATACTCCATCATTTGGTTAGCTGCTGTTTCTTTTGTTACTCCATGTAGCACTTTCAAATGTAAGGCATTGGATCTTTTCGTGAAGATGATTCTTGGCCTTGCATTTAGTAGGTTTATTTGGGTTTCAGACTTGGATGATGCTGTTGTGGTAGGTTGGGAGAAATGGGTGTTCAGAGGATTGAACAAACAGGAGTATTGCTTGGCAAGTGAGAGAAGACAACCTTGCACCATCGGGACCCAGCCTTTATCTGCTTCTGTTTACTTTTTCATTTCATGTTTTCTGCCTTTCCCTTCCCCCCCATTCTTTTGCTACTTGCTTTGTTCTCCTGCTCTGTTTCTCTTCACTCTTTAGTACCTCTCATGTACTTGGAGTGATCTTCTATGGACTTAACTAACATACTTCCTCCTGTAGAACTCTTTCAAAGACTTATTTCTCACAGACCTCAGATTCCTCTCAAAATAATGAGTGACTCAGAACTGCTGCCAGTACCCATCTTTTGTCCAACTATGTTCTTATCTTTCCTCTGTACTTGTGTTTTTTGCTGTCACATTTCGGTTACTGAGCTATAGGGCTAGAGTCAGCATCTGGATCAATGCCTTAGGTGTGGACTAAGACATTCTCTCCATAAAGTAAGCACTGAGTAACAATGTGGCAACATTGATCTGGGCTAAATGAGTCCAGACCTTTTTTACAGCCTGTTGGAGTAACATTGTTCTCAGATTAGGAATAACAGCCAAAAGAATATGTCTCTGACTGTGAGCGCGCTGCTCCGTACAGTTTCGATTGGTTTTATTAGTGTTGCCTATTCTGTTCCTTCAGATCACAAAGGATAAATGGAAATAACTTTATAATCATGCTTTGTGTGTTTGTAGTGCTTTTACATATGCTTTCTCACTTGGCCTTCATAACAACTAAGGTAGACAGGGCAGGAATTAACTCTGCCCATCTAATGATGAAACTGAGGTTCAGTGGTTCATAAATAATGAAGAATACGCCCTTGGTGCTTCTCTCACCTCCCCTGTCCTCACTTCTCTCCTGTCTTTAATATCTTGGTACTATAGTCTCACAATTGAAAGATAACTAGTAAGGGACAGAGCTGGAACTAGAACATTAACTTATTCTGGGCTGTGAAAACCTTAGAATAGTGAATAAGAAAGCCCCAAATTAGAAGAGAAGGAAAAGAGCAGCTGTGTGTTCAGCTTGGAGAAAACAAAGGGAATGAACGCAGTAGTTTCTTTTCTTTTTGGGGAGGGGTCTTGTGGACCCTTTTGGCAGTCTGGTAAAGCCTATGAACCTCTTCTCAGAATCATAGTTTTAGTTACTCAAAATAAAGTACTTGGAATTACAAAGGAAACTAATTGTATTGAAATACATTTATTAAAAAGTATTTTAAAAACCCTCAAGTTTCTATACCGCAGGTTAAGAACCCTTTGAGAAGAGCTCTAAACATTCCAAGCTCTAAAGTTCTGTGAACTAGTTTTCTGAAACAGAATATCAGAGCTTGAAGTGACCTTAGGGATCAATTAATTTAACCCTTTCATTTTAAAGATGAGGAAACTGAGGCTCAGACAAGTAAAGTGACTTACCCAACGTTGTGTCTGAGCCAGGACTTGAATCCAAATTTTCTGACTTCTTAAATTAGCTCCATTTGTGCTCCACCAAACTTGGTTTATGAAGTGAGGTCCAGTATTGATGTCTTGAAGCTTTGAATGTTCTTTCTAAGACTCTCCTAGCTCAGAATTTTTTGATGTTTCTGTTCTTTTGTTTTCATTGTTTGAGATGAAGCCGGAAAGGAGGAAATACCCTAACACTGCCTACCATAGAGCCTCACACATAGTAGCCACTCATGCCATTGGTATTCGTGCTTGACTGTCAGAGAAGGAACCAGTCCTTGATTAATCTTTGTTTTACTATTCCAAAATAACAAACATCTAAATGTCTTCTGAAGGGGTGGCTCCCCTGAATTGGGACCCTCTAAGTATGATACTTTACTTTTGACATCCTCTACATTGAGGTGCCAGCTGTGTTGTTGCCCATAGGCAATGCAGGTCCAGTTCTCTGTATTTACCTCTCTGAGTCTGGGATGCTTCTGGCTTGAGAAGCAAAACTCTCAGCAAAGTTTAGTGGCTCCATTGACTATTCAATACCTTCTTTAATTGCTTAAGTTCTGGTCTGTTCTCGTGGATGTTAGATCATGTTGGCCCTCACAGCTTAGCCAGGGGGCTTGTAATCCTTTAAAGATCCTTTAAAGAAGCAGGAGTTCCCCAGCCAAAGGGTTAAGGGGATGATTGGGTGGGATTGCCAGAATCGTCATGATGATGCGCCACTTGGAATAGTGGAGAAAGATGTGGCACACAGTAAATATTTCAGTTGAAGCTGTTAATTGAATGAATGCTCACCGTGTGCTATTGATGTAGTTGAGATTCTGGATTGCCAACTAGCCATGTTGTCTTTGCAGTGAATTAGAAATCCTGCACCACGACAAGCAGTATGAGCCCTTCTACTCCTCCTTTGTCGCACTTTCCACACACTATATCACAACGGTCTGCAGCCTCAGTAAGTATCCAGCTGCTGTCCCTCCCAGTTCTTGGCTTGTGAATAGAGGGATTGTTGTTTCTCCCATTAGGTTTGACTGCATGAATTGGTTAATGAAGTGTCTTTGCTTCCGCACTCCCAAGCCATGTTCCCAGGAGTTGAGACAACAGCAAACTATGATGTGCACCACTGTCTACAGTGAAATGAACAAGTTCATTTTAACCCAGGCTGCCCAAGCAGAAGCAGAAAATGCCCTGAGGCTTGAGCAACAGGTCCTCAGTTCATTAAGTTTCTCTCTCTAGCCAAAGCCCTTTATGTTAGGTTTCATACATCGTCTGGGAAGGAGTGCATTTCTCAGTAACCCATAGCTTTGGGGCTAACAGCCAGTATACCAAAGCAGTATCCCATCCTGTGGTTGTGGTTTGAAAGTGAATTTGACTTCTTTATGGGCCCTGCAACATGAAATGACTTCTTCCAGCCTCCATTTTCTTATCTTTTTGCCCAATTGATTATAAAATTTGTATTTTATGTTTGTTCTATTTCAGTAATTTATCCTTCTGATCTCTTTATGTTATGTTGCTACCTAAAAAAGCACCAGAATGAATTAAATGAGTACCTGAATTCTTTATTGACTTGTTTAGTTAGCAGGTTATTCAGGTAGACAGTGAGAAACTTCATAAACCCTCAGCATCCTTCCAGGTAAGAGGCTGGAATTGTTGGTAGTAAGCATCATGTCCTGATGGCATCTGTTCCTTTGTCTTTATGGATGAAAACTGAAAAAAAACAAGAGCCCCTGGGAAAAATAGATATGTAGGAAAAGGAGTACCTTCTTTCATACTGAACAAATAGGAGAGAACCTCTGTCTCAGCAAATGTAGTTATCAGTGTTAAATGATGGGGGGTCAAAGTCAGCATTGGTTATAGGTGTAGCTTGGTTGATGTGAGGTAGAGGTTCAACAAAAACTTGTTATTGATTGCTTAATTTGTTGGTAAAGGAGGGCCATAATTCCCTGTACATAAATAGTTGGTTGCTTTTTCAGTTCCCCGAAATCAGCTTCAGTCAGTGGCAGCTGCCTGCAAAGTCCTGATTGAATTCTCTCTCCTGCGCCTAGAGAATCCAGATGAGGCCTGTGCTGTATCCCAGGTGAGAGCTGTGGCATGGTGTGCCATCTCTCTGAAGGTTTTCTTGTTTTTATTTGGCAAGAGATTGCTGAGTAGAGTCAGAGAAGTGGGAAAAGGAAAGGCTAGTGGAGAGGCTTTGTATTATTGTTCAGTCTGTACTAATTAATATGAGCCTGATTTTGGTCCTGTAGGCCTTTGCCAGTGAGAATGCTTTGTGCTGTACCTACCTAAAGTCACGTTTTTAATTTGATTGCTCTCCAGAAACACTTGATTCTCCTTATCAAAGGTCTGTGCACTGGCTGTAGCCGGCTAGACCGAACTGAAATCATTACTTTCACTGCAATGATGAAATCTGCCAAGCTCCCACAGACAGTGAAGACTCTCTCAGATGGTAAGTGTTTGCCCTATATATATATACCTCACTCCTTTGGTCCCTGGCATTTCTGGATTTTTCACTGCTTTGCCTCTATCATTTTTGTCCCATTTCCTCTCTTTGAACTAATGCAGTGGAAGATCAGAAGGAGCTGGCTTCACCAGTCAGCCCAGAGCTTCGGCAGAAGGAAGTACAAATGAACTTTCTGAACCAGTTGACCTCAGTCTTCAATCCTAGAGCGGTAGCAGCACCATCCCTCCCGCCCGTGATTCAGGTGAGATTCTTTAGCCTTGTCCCCATCACCTGTTAACCTAGTAAGTAAAAGGCAATAGGTAACAAATTTTGGTACATTCTATGTTTATTACTGCTTGTACTGGATAAATAACCTCTGTGTGTTCCAACCCACAGAGTTGGAATAGCATTTCTGGAGTTAGCCTAGGAGGAGTGAAGTATTAGAAGTGGGGGAACTTCTGGACTAGATGACTCCTGAGGTCTAAACTTTCATCTCTAAATCTGTTATCCTATTATTTTTTCCTGGCTTTTGGGCTGTGGTTTGGTTCCCACCTTCTAGGATAGTAAGCAATGAAGAAGCTGGGGCAGTTAGCTGCTATAAGAAGTCTCAGTCACTTTGCACTTTCATTTAGGTGGAAGGAGAAAATGAAGATCAGTCCTCAACAGATCAAGCCTCTGCCATCAAAACCAAGAATGTGTTTATAGCCCAGAATGTGGCTAGTCTACAGGAGCTCGGTAAGATGAAACAGCTAGTTTCATATCTTAGAACACAAAAAGGCCACTCCAGGCTGTGGTCCAGTAATTGTCTAGAAGCCAAACCTTATCTCTGTGTCTCTATAAAAAGCGATGAGATCAGAGAGTCTTGTTTGTAGCTCTGTCTTGTCATTGCTGCAGGTGGCTCAGAGAAGCTGCTCCGTGTGTGTCTGAACCTGCCATATTTCCTACGCTACATTAATCGGTTCCAAGATGCTGTGTTGGCTAATTCCTTCTTCATTATGCCTGCAACAGTGGCAGATGCCACCGCTGTCCGTAATGGGTAAGAGGTTGCAAAGGTTATGTCCAAAAAGAGAGCTATAATTGACCTTCATTGTCAGTTACTGTGACCTCAGGGTTGCAGAAGGGAAACTATTGCAAGGGCTAGCTAGGCTCACCCTGTCTTCTCTCTCCTTATAGTTTTCATTCATTAGTCATTGATGTAACCATGGCATTGGATACCCTTTCTCTCCCTGTTTTGGAACCCCTTAACCCTGCTCGATTACAAGATGTGACGGTGCTCAGCCTCAGCTGTCTATATGCAGGTGAGTAGTTGTTGGACTTGGCCCTAAGTTTCTTCTTAGTCCTGAGATCTTGTTGATTTTTGATTGTTGCCTGATTTTTTTTCCCACAAATGCTATCTGATATCTTCCGTCCAGGCAGTTTCCCGTAACTCAATCTCTGTTTTGCCACAGGGAACCAGTGGTGCTTGACAAAATGCCTTATGTACAATGGTGCATGTTATTGTAAATGTTCTCTGTTACATCCATGACATGTTCCCCTTGCCCTCACCCTGATGCCTCAAAGTATATGGGGCCTGAGTGTAAGCTTATGGTTACCTTTTATTTAGGAAAAATACTTTATAGTCTTTCTAACCTTATTTCATACGATCCTATCACATAATTTATATACTGGGAAAATTGGACTGCTCACCATCCTGTTCTTATCCGGAATTTTTTCATAGTTTTATCTTCACTAACCCTAGCTATTTTTGTGTGTGTGTGTCCCTCCCCAAACCGGAAGAAACACATAAACATATGAAAAACAAACATAAAACAAAATTTTCACCTGTTGAAATATTTTCCTCTGCAACTTCCAACTCAGATTCTGCCTCTTCCATGAGGCCTTTTCATGTTCCCTTCCTGCATATCTGTCCCAAAGCAGGAAGCAATCTTTCCTTTTTTTGACTTTTCCTAGCACTTTGTTTGGACTGTTCTACTTGTTACATTTTGCTGTATGTTTTGTCCCTTGTTTCCCTCATTAGATTATAAGCTTATCTCATCTTCATATTCTCCCTGCCTAATCCTGAGCCTTGCAGTTTATTTGTTTAATAGAATTATTCGGTTTTTGGTTTTAAGGTCATTGAAGTGGGTTTGGTGTGTCTTGGGAATTAGGTTCTGAAAGTAGTTGATTGGAGAGACGTCCTTGGAAACTTGGCTTTGGGTTATCCAGGAATTGTTAAAATTGACTCATTACTATTAGTTCAGTCATTGAACAAATATTTATTGAGCCAGGTACTATGTTCTTGTTTGCTGAGTGCTAGTTGCTGTGAGAAGAAATACAAAGACGAATCAGTAACTGTCCCTATCCTCAAAGGAGCTTATTCTTTAATAGGGGAATGTTAAGTAAGTATGCAGATAAGAATAGGCAGAAGGTGAGAATTTCAAAATGGACCGAGGGGATTGAAGGGGAAGGGGAAATCAAAGGAAAAGGCTTCAGGGAAGGGGTGACATTTGATCTTGACTCAGTGTCAGGGCAGTGGAAAAATCCTAGTTATGTTATGAAATCCACGTATCCATTTGACTTCAGTATCTGAGAGGAGTGGCACATAAACCTAGAGTAAGTAGGGGTCAGATCACTGAGGATTTTGGACTTAGACTTTATTCTCTAGGCCATTTCTTAGGGAAGCCATTAAATGGTTTTGAAGGAATGGAATGACATGATCTGAATTGTATTTTAGGATTATTAGTCTATCAGTGTTACGTCTAGGACGGGTGGGGAACCTGGGTCCTCGAGGCCACATGTGGGTGCAGCCTTTTCACTGAGTCCAAATTTTACAGAACAAATCCTTTTATTAAGGGGATTTGTTCTGTGAAGTTTGGATTCAGTCAAAGGGCCACACGTGAGGACCTAGAGGGCCACATGTGACCTTGACTGTAGGTTCCGCATCCATGGTCAGAGGTAGAGAGATCATTGCAGTTGTCTGCAGGAGAGAGAATGAGAGCCAGAGCTTGAATATTGCAAGGGTAGAAAGAACAAGAAGGAGGAGTCAAAGTGATCTCTCTCAGATTTGTATTTTTAACTGTTGTTGAATTTTCTTGAGGTACATCCAGTTGGTCAGAGACTTTTGTGGTTACCATGTTGAAGGTTTCAAAATTGGGACTGTGGTTTGTCCCCGAAACTTGAACAATTTAGATTCGGTTTTGGTGAGTGGGTTTCAGTATTGTTGTTATCCTGCTCACAATTTGAGAGCCTTTTTAAACCTTCAGCATTTGTTGTGGTAGTCATTATTTGTTGTGGGGCTTGGGTCTGTCCTTGTGTTTTCCATTCTGTTTCTTGAACCCCAGTAATGTAGTACAGGTAGATGCCTGTGGGCCCTTAGCAGGGAGTCATGGAATCTCTGCTTCTCTTGTTGTAGGTGTGAGTGTGGCCACCTGTATGGCCATTCTTCATGTGGGCAGCACCCAGCAGGTGCGGACAGGCTCCACAAGCTCCAAAGAAGAAGATTATGAAAACGATGCTGCTACCATTGTCCAGAAATGTGTAAGCCAAGGGTACTTGGACCCTGAAGAGGGTCGGGAGGAGACAGAGGTTTGGTTGGTGAAGTTGGCCTTCGGAGTTGTACTGAGAAAAGTGTACCTCTTTAGTGGACAGTGCCCTTGTGTGGCTAGACTGTTTCTAGTGAGCTTTACCTTCTTTCTTTAATTATGCAGTTACAAACACAGCTTAGCCATGGCAGTAGACTCTGGTAAAAATTGTCTTTCTGTAATTGAGATATCACCTTAGAAGAGACAAGTAATCTTTATAGATGGGGTGTGGGCAGGATTAGTCATTTTATTACAGAATGGTCTATGCTGACTTACATTTCATGTATGTGTTTTCCAACAGCTTGAAATCTATGAGATGATTGGGCAGGCCATCAGCAGCTCCCGGAGAGCTGGCGGTGAGGTAGGAAGCCCATCTCTGAGCTCAACTTATCCCTTGCCATGCGTCAGCTCTGCTCTTCCTCAGATTCTCATTTGTGCTTTGCCTTTCACTCCAGCACTACCAGAACTTCCAGCTGCTGGGTGCATGGTGTTTGCTGAACAGTCTCTTCCTCATCTTGAATCTCAGCCCCACTGCCTTAGCTGATAAGGGAAAAGAGAAAGATCCTCTGGCCGCTCTCAGAGTGCGAGACATCATTGCTCGTGCAAAGGAGGGTGTGGGTTCTCCCAAACTGGGACCTGGGAAAGGGTATGTAACTCCTGGCTTTTGGTTTGTTTTCCCCCTTTCCTTTTCTATCGATAAAGGACACCAATGAGGAGCTTAGTACATTTGCAAAACTTGTCTGGAGAAGATCATATTTGGGTAGGGGGAGCAGGAGATAATCATTATTCTTCAACTGTTTTGAGGGCTGTCATATGAAAGTAGTGATGAGACTTGGTCCCAGGGGAGAGGAACAGGAGCTGGGGAGGGGGATGTTGCTAAGAGGGAAATTTTGGCTCAATGTAAGGAAAGATTCCCTACCAACAATATCCCTCCGAAAGTGGAATATGCTGTTGTTGGGGAGAGAGAATGATTTCTTCATCCTTGGAGGCTTTTAAGCAAATTGTGGGCTCGTTCTCAGAGATGTAGAGAGAACAGGTTGGATCATGTGAACTCCTAGGTCTTTTCAGCCTTGGAGAGTCTTTGACTTTTCTTTTTCATTTCTCCCTCCCTCTTTAGTTTGAACTTATTGTATAGAATGATGACCAAATATTCCTTGCTTGAGGGAAGTTTTTTCCTTTATAAGCCTAATCCAGTAAGATGACACCACTTCCTACAGTAAAATTGATTATGACAACATTTTTCAACATTTTAGTGAAATCTGGACAGTAAGCAGTACTGATGGCAAGGGAAGAAGTTAAATTTTGAGATTCGGCTTCCATGTTGTTAAAGGCCTACTCCCCTCTCCCCCACTTTCTCTCTTTCTCTTTCAAAAATTGCATTACTAGCATTTATTTTTACAATACCTTTTCTGAATGAATCTGTACCCAACAAACAATCTATTTGTAAAGAATTTTTTAAAAACTGAACTCAGTTTTGCAGAACTGACCAACACAAACAGTCACATCTGACAGTAATTAAGTATTCTATACCCATAATCCTCTACCTCTGCATAAAAGGGAGGTGTATTTTCTCATCTCTTTCCCTGAACCAAACTTGGCCATAATATTTATGTAACATTCAGTTTAGTTTCTTGTTCTTTGCACTTACATTATTGTGGTCATTGTGTGTGTTGTTTTTCTGGTTCTGCTCACTTTGTTCTAGATAAGTTCATGTAAATAAATCTGCCTGCACTTTTCTGAATTCTTGATATTCGTCATTTCTTATGGTATTGTAATATTGCATTATTTATGTATCATAATGTTTAGGCTTTCTCCAATCAGTGGGCATATGCTTTGTTTCAAATTCTTTGCTATCACATAAAATACTGGTAAGAATGTTTTGGTGAATATGAGAACTTTCTGTCTTTGATCTCCTTGGAGTATATCCTGGGCCAGGGGTGGGGAACCTATGACCTTGAGGCCGCAGTTCTCTACGCCTGTCCTAGGCCTTTTTTCCTTGCCTACACCTTTCCAAAACTAAGTAGATTGTGGAATTAAAGGGCTGATTGAGGTCTTATTAATAGGTATTGAGAAGAGTAAGGGCAAAGTGCTTAGGGATTTGTTTTAAAAGGAAGGAACAGTTTCAACACAAAGTGGGTAGTTTCTCATTTGAACAGTAGAATTTACTAGTTTTCCCTCTTGATTTTGAGATTAGTAACTTTATGAAGTGAGTTTTTGTGTTAAATGATTTATTGTGAATTTAATTTCAGTAAGTATACAACAAAGAAAAGGGCTCAAATTTTTAAATATAATTTTTAGTTAAGTAGTAATGTCACTTTAATCACTTTTAAATTAATTTGATAATGCATGTAAAATTAATTAATATTTAAATAAATACAGTTTATATATAAATAGCTATATGCTACGTTTAAAAAATAAACTTATTGATACCATCCAGTTTTAACACAATGGATATTTTCCAGCCAACACCAAAGCAAATACCCTCACCAAGTACATTCCCCAACAAAACAGCAAAACAGCTTATCAGTTATTAATAGAAAGGAGTGTGTACTTTGGTAGTTTGACATTAAAATTAACCCTTGTGTGTAATCAGAATTATGTTTCCTCTCTCCATAATGACTCTATTTACATTGCTGTAGACATTGTACATGTTGTGTTTTGATACTTCTTTCTTCACATCATTTCATAGGATTCTTCAGTATTTCCCCCAATTGCCCATATTTGTCATTCCTCACAGTGAAGTAATGCTTTATTATTATAGTAGTTAACCAGAATTTTTTCCAGCTAATTTCCAGTTATTGGGTGCCTATTGTGTTTTGATCTTTTGGGTATAAATAATGCTTTTATACACATGGAGTCTTTCTTGCTGACAGTAACCTCTTCAGAATTACAGAATTACAAAATTTGAGAGTTCCGAAGAGACCTCAGGGACTCTGTAGTCCAATCCCTGCACAAAATGAATCCTTAACCAGTTTGGTCAGCAAGCATTTATTAAGTGCTTGTGATGTGCCTGGCATTGTCAAAGTGCTGGGGATACAGAGAAAGAAAAGTTTGAGATGCCCAACAGGAGAGATGTATAGGCTAGATACATAGATCATCATCTTCATAGAGATGATTCTGTGGTCCCAGTAGAGGAGATCTCTGGATCAAAACATAGAAACATATTCCAAATTCTTTTCTAGAGCAATGGAACCAATTTTCGGTTTTACTAGTAACAAATTAATTGTCCCCATCTTCTCATAGCCCAGGCAATAATGAATTTTCACATCTTTTATATTTTTCCTATCTTGATGGGTATAAGATGTTATCAGGATTTTAATTTTCATTTCTCTGATTATTAGTCATGTTGAACATTTTTCAAGTAGTTATGAATAGTTTGTATTCTTTAGAAAGCTGTTTTTAGTTGTCCTTTTATCATATGTCTGTAGAGGAATGGTTCTTGTAAATATATTTGAAAAAAGAATATATACTTCAGCAAATCACTAGCAGTAAAAACTTACTATTGTATTTTTTTCTGATCTCTTTTTCATGTGTATATAAGGATTCTTTTTTTATGCAGTTGTAAAAGTATGTTTTTTTCTGCTTTCTTTGTTATTTTATGTTTTCCCACATTTTCTTATATTCCTAATATTTGACATTTTTAATGGTCTAGTGATAGCATCCCTTCAGTCTTTATCTTTAATAACATCCTCTTAAAGATTTCACAGTTTGCTAAGCTATCTCTTAAACTTTAGACATATAAAAATTGCTTCTAGTTTTTCATTATGCAGATGTTTTTTATAGATTTTTTTTCTTTTTAACTTAACAGAAGAGTCTTGAGGAGGGGAGTTGTGTTCTTGAGTCAAAGCGTATGTGACCTTTATTTTGATTTTACTTGTATTAACAGATTGTTCTCTAGTTTACAATATTATAAACATTTAATTTTGTCATCTTTAAATGCTTTTGCCAATTTTATAGTTGCAGAGTGGTACCTCAAAGTTATTGTCATTTGTATTTCAGTATTTGTGATCTTTTAAAATTCAGTTCTATTTTACCTTCTGTGTCAAATTTTCTCCCTCTTTTCTCCCTTCTCCACTCATTGAGAAGGCAAGAAATACAAAATTTGTTACAATTATGTATAGTTATGCAAAACATTCCCACATTAGTCCAAAAAAAGGAAGATAAGAAAATCTGCTTCAGTCTGCACTCTCTATCCATCAGTTATCTAATTGGAGCTGGATATTGTGTTTCGTCATGAGTCCTTTTGATTTCTGGTTAGTCATTGTGTTGATCAGAATTACAAAGTCTTTCAAAATTGATTATCTTTACAATATTGCTGTTACTGTGTGGATTATTTTCTTGTTTCCATTTACTTCAGTCTGCATCAGTTCATCCAAGTCTTCCCAGGTTTCTCTGAAACCATCCTCTTTATCATTTCTTATAGCACAAAATAGCATTCCATGTCCTTCATGTTCCCTAATTTGTTCAGCCATTTCCCCAATTGATAGGCATCCCCTCACTTTCCGTTTCTTTGCCACCACAAAAAGAGGTGCTGTAAGTATTTTTGTACATATAAGTCCTTTTCTTCTTTTTCAAAAAAATTCTCTTTATATAAATATATTTCATGTGGTCATATATAGCTTCAGTGTCTTCTTATAAACTGTTTATATCCTTTGACCATTTATATTGAGTACTATTACTCTTAAAAATTTGTACCAATTCCTTGTAGATTCTCTATGTTAGATTCATACCAGATATATTTACTAAAAAGTTTTTTCTACCGATTTGTTACTTTTTAATTCTGGTTAATGGTTTTTTGCTTATGTAATTAAAAACTGAAGTCTTCTCTAATAATTTTTCTAATTTATTTGATAGGTAAATATTTCTTCTCCACAGATAAGATAAATATTTAATTCTATTTTCTTCCAAATGTTTTTATGATTTAAAAAAAAATATTTATATCCTTGATCCAGTAGAAATTTATTGTAGTATATAATGTGATGTATGGATCTAAATTAATTTTTCTTCCTGTTAGCCTTCCTGCTAGACTTGAAGGATTTTATAGTAAAGTTTTATCCTTATTTCTTCCAATATTAAATGAATCTCTAAATAGATTTTAATTGTGTGACATTTAAATTCTCATTAAGTTTAGCATCTCATTAACCTCCAGGATCAGAAATAAAGTCCTCTAATATCTAAAGCCCTTCATAACCTTTCCTGTTTTCTTGCTCCTTAATCCCTCCTCTCCCCCCATGGCTGCCTTGAACCAGTGACAGTGTCCTCCTTGCTGTTCTTCCTACAAGACACTCCATCTCCTTATTCTGTGTGTTTTCATTTGCCATCCCTCATGCCTGGAATCTTCTTTCCATCTCCTCCTGGTTTCCTTCAAGGCTCACCTTCTACAAGAAGCCTTTCCTGATCCCCATTAATTCCATCACCTGTTGATTATTTCAAATTTATCATGTATGTTGCTCATTTGTATATAATCATTTGCATGTTGTCTCCTCCATTAGACTATGAGCTCTTGTCTTTCTTTGTAAGCCCATTGCTTAGCACAGTGCCTTTCACATAGTAGGCGCAAATGCTTGTTCACTTATCAACCACTATATAAACACTATAATATTGATTAGTAGGTATAATAAAATTCAGCTTAATACATTACACCAGACCTCAGAAGGTATCATCTCTTAAATTTGCTGATTTTAAAATGTCATAATTTTGCTACTCAATAATTCTTAATTATTGCTGGCTTAAAAGCATTTAAGTATTTAAGAAGTGAAGGATTTTTAGATCTTGGAGAAGTTTCCTTTTTCTGGCAGCTGCTAACTGTTAATCATTCTTCTGTGTGTGTGTGTGTGTGTGTGTGTGTGTGTGTGTGTGTGGCAATTGGGGTTAAGTGACTTTCCCAGGGCCACATAGCTAGTAAGTATCAAGTCTCTGGTCTGAGACTGGATTTGAACTCAAGTCCTCCTGACCCCAGGGCTGGTGCTCTATCCACTGCACTGCTTAGCTGCCCCTGTTAATCATTCTTAAGCTCTTATGGTGGTTTTCCGCTCCACAGGCATCAAGGATTTGGAGTTCTCTCTGTAGTGTTGGCAAACCATTCAATCAAACTATTAACATCTCTTTTTCAAGACCTGCAAGTAGAGGCTCTCTATAAGGTGAGGAGGTGGTGGATCTGAGGAGGGAAAGGCTAATGATGTGCTAGGTATGCTTTTTTATCTGTCTCGGTTCATGCAGTGATCTATGTTGCTGATTGTCATTTGATGTTATCACCTCTAGGGTTGGGAGGCAGATGGTCCCCCTGCAACCCTGAGCATCATGGCCCAGAGTACGTCAATACAGAGAATTCAGCGATTGATTGACTCTGTCCCACTCACAAATCTGCTGCTGACCTTGCTCTCTACCTCGTACAGAAAGGTGGGCAAGCAATCCTCACAGATCACTATTGGGATTTTTGCGTATTTTAAAATATAATAGCTTTTTGACTTTCAAAGCTGGTTTTGACCAAGATGATAACTTGTGATAGTGAAGTAAGAAGACTTATCCAATGTAGTGACTCTTAAGAAAGACTAATAGCTTTAGGCCTTTCTGGTGAGCAAACAGGATCTAGTAGGTTTAGCTTGTTAAAAATCCATTTTTATCCACCACTGATAAATGTCCCTTTATGGTGTCCATGGCTACTAAACCATGTGTGAGAATGGTGGCACACTGAGCAGAATATAGGGAACATTCATTGTAAAGACCTTCTCTTTGTTTGCTGGAGCGTGGGTTGGGAATCCTTACATAGACACGAATGATGTCTCTCCCTTTAAGATAGCTGTGAGAAGAATTTAATGTAAGCGTTTGTAAGTAAAATACAAGAGGATTAAAAGGAAAACTCAAAATTCTTTTGGAGCCACTGGCCAGGTAAGCAGGGATTTCTTAGCTATTGCACTGTCCTGTTGCCTGTGGCCTCATTTTCCTTTCTGTTCCTCTAGGCATGTGTCTTGCAGCGTCAGAGGAAGGGTTCCATGAGCAGTGATGCCAGTGCCTCTACCGACTCCAACACCTACTACGAGGATGATTTCAGCAGCACAGAGGAGGACAGTAGCCAAGGTAGAGGCCCTAGCCTTCCTGTCTCTTACAGAGGAGAGGAGCTGACTCCAATAAGACTTTCCCCAGCAGGTTCCATTTGTTTCCTATTTGTGTCATTTTGTTCTCTCTTATCCAGCATAGATACATAGATGTATTCCCCCAACAGAACATTTTAATTGAAGAGGAATTTGAAGAGTGAGTGATTAGAGCCACTTTCAGCCAAACTTAGGGTGAACTTATTCCTCTCTGTCTGCCTCAGAATTAAAAATAAAATGTTATTTCCCCCCCATTTCTTTATGCTGACCCATGTCACGACCTCTAATCTCAGGCTTCTTTAAAGAGCCCAAAGGCAGTGTGTATACTCCCTGGTTTGGCTTTTCTAGCCAGGGTTACCAGAGTGGCAGAACCTACCTCGCAGAGGCCCAAGCTGGAGTCTCTCTCTCATAGTGAGTAAAACTCTTCCTGAGTCTGGAGGGAGGTGAGGAAGAGGTCTATTGGATTCTTCTTAATTATAATTTATCAGGTGTGCTGGGTACTATTCCCAGTACAGAGAGGGTTCTAATTCTTACCATCTTGGGGTTTATGATCACTCATATCAGGCGTAAGGTGTTTGGCCTGGTGCATAAATCTGAAGGGCAAGCATTGTTTCCTTTCTCATCTTGGAGGTAGTGAGCCATCCCCTCCACCCCACCCTACCCCAATCACTTGAGCTTCCCAAGCAGAGGCTGAAAGCCAACTTTTTGGGATGTTGATTGTTGTAGAGGGGAGTCGTGCTTCAGCCATGACCCGCTGTCCCTTTGAATTTGAAGAGTCAAGAGATTCTCTCTGGGGGCCCTCTTGATTTAGCTGCTTGTATAAAGCACCCTAACAACTAGCAGGGGTCCTTGGATAGAGTCAGTGCTTAGTAAGTTCTTGTTGAACCAAATTGAACGTCTTCCTGTTTTTGTGCAGATGATGACAGCGAGCCCATCCTTGGGCAGTGGTTTGAGGAAACCATCTCTCCGAGCAAGGAGAAAGTGGCACCTCCTCCCCCTCCTCCTCCCCCGCCACTGGAGAGCTCACCTCGGGTCAAGAGCCCAAACAAACCAGCTGCTGGTGAGAAAGGCAACATCCTGGCCAGTCGCAAGGACCCTGAGCTGGTATGAATGGGCTTCAAGAGGGCTTGGAAAGTTCACGTGGCCTCAAGATCGCTTTTGGGTCAGACACTGGAAAAGGCGATAGGGACTGATTTTAGGAGAGGATTGTGAATAGATTACTGTAGATTGATTAGTTTGTGTCGATAGTAGAGAAGTAAAGTAAGTATCTGGGACAAAATAGGCATGGTGGCTTCATAATTAAATTACAGCTTTCTTCTGGAGAAGATAAAATACTCTGTCATAGGAAGGAAGGAATAGTCAGTAAGTATTTATTAAGAGCCTACTGTGTGCCAGGCCCTTTGCTAAGTGTTGGGCAGACAGGGCAAGGCAAAAGACAGTTCCTGCCCTTGAGGAGCTCATGGTCTAATGGGAGAGAGATAACATGCAAACACCTGTGTACAAACAATAGGATAAACAGGAAATAATAACTAGAGAGAAGGTACTGGAAGTAAGAGGGATTGGGAAAGGCTTTGTATAGAAGGTGGGACTTTAGTTGGAACTTGAAAGAAGCCAGGAGGCAGAGATGAGGAGGGGGAGCATTTTAGGTTTGGGGGACAATCAGGAGTGAGGAGGAGAGTCTTGTCCCAGGAATAGCCAGGAAACCGATGTCTATGTGTAGGAGTTGGGGAGGGTATAAGATCTAAGAGGACTGGAATGGTGGGAGGGACCAGATTATGAAGGGCTTTCAGTGCCAAACAGAGGAACTGGGATTTAATACTGGAGGTGATAGGGAGCCACGAGAGTTTATTAAGAAGGAGGTGAAACGTTTGGACTTGTACTTTGGGAAAAATCCCAATGGCGGCTGAATGGAGGATGAACAGGAGTGAAAAGCTGTGTTGGTGTAGATGGTCATCTGGCGTCCTTGTATCTTTATCTTTAAAGACTTTGGAACAGAACTGAGATTGTAATTCGTTAGTTGGGTAACTTGGGCAAGTCACTTTAGCTTTGCTGGGCATCAGGGTTCTCATTTGTAAATGAGGGGCTTGGGTAGGTGATCTCTAAGGTTCCTTCTAGCTCTGATCTGGGGTCCCATGATCCCGCCATGGTCATCCCTGGTAGAGTTAATTGTAAGAGATCTTCACAGCCACGAACCGGACCTTAATGTTTGCAAATATAATGAGACCCTTCCCTGGTGTGTTTAACCATAGTATGCAATCACTTGTGTTGTTGTATGTGGTTTGCCCTGTGTGAGGCTTCCTGTGTGCTTCAGTACCAGAGAGCCCGAGAGGAGCTCGTTTTCTGTCCTTTCAGTTTTTAGGTTTGGCTTCCAACATCTTGAACTTCCTCACCTCCTCCATGTTAAACTCTCGAAACAACTTTATCCGCAATTACCTGAGTGTATCTCTGTCTGAGCAGCACATGGCTACCTTAGCCAGCATCATCAAGGAGGTGGACAAGGATGGGCTCAAGGGTGAGTAGAAAGAACCCTTTCCCAAGAGTTTAGATGCCTGATGTTGCTGGTGGCCTGGGAGGTTGTCAGGGGCAGTTGGTAGAAAATACTGGATATTTTCCTTGCTTTTAAGGTTCATCAGATGAAGAATTTGCTGCTGCACTTTATCACTTTAACCACTCCCTAGTCACGTCAGATCTTCAGTCTCCTACCTTGCAGGTGAGTGTGCCTTGGGCCTGCACAGGCCGGGAGAGAGTGGGAATCAAAGGTAGTGGCTAGCCTTTGAGCCAGCGCTGGTTTATTAAGGGATAAAGTTTATTATGTAGTCTTGGTGCTAGACTGTCGAGAAAGGGGAAGAGGAAAGTTTGGTTATGTCCTCAAGTCACAGTACTAGTAATAATACCTCCCATTTCTATTCCACATTGCTACTTTGCCAGCACTTTCCTCCCGGCAGCCCTGGGAGGGAGCTCACTTATTACCAGTATTTCCATTTTAGAGTGGAAGAAAATTAGGCTCCTAGCATTCAAGGGAGATAGCTAGTAGCCTCTGGTTGCTGTGACGCTCAGCCCTGCTGTCCCTTGACAAGGACTTTAGTGACCTTTCCTGTCTACCCTGAGGGCAACAGAGAAGACCTGGCCTCTGATGGAGCTCCAGGGTCGTTGCTGATTCAATGAAATAAATCCCTTGGACGTATGATTCATTCTTTTGTTGACTTTGACACATGAACACGTGAGTGAGGAGAAACATAAAAAGTAGATTCTTTTTATTTTTGCAGGAAGTTTGTATGTTGTGTTTCCACCATGACCTTTTTATGGTTGATGTTGTCTATACTAAGAAGCAATCTTTTATATTTGTCAGCTCAATACATTTAGATATTTTTCAGCAAAGGCACCTTTCAGCAAAGGATAGTGACAGGCAGTGGAGTAGAGTGAGGGACAACTGTCTTGGAAGTCCGGAAGATCTGGGTTCAAGACCTGCCTCTGACATGTACTGGCTCTAAGACCCTGGGCATACCACTTAATTTTTGAGTACTCCAATAATACCCAAAGACTATAAATTGTAGAAAAGAGTATAAATTTCCCACCTGCATTGCTGGAGGGACTTTCTTTCATCAGAATGTTCCTCAGACCAGTGAAATCACAGGTCTAGTCCCCATCCCAAACCTTATAATCATAAAACTATTTAAAAATTATATTAAGCAGCCTGTCCTTCTTATTATTTGAAAAGTTTATTTTAACCCAAAAAAGAATATTATCTGGGTTAGAAAGACAGGGCATTTGTTAGGCCATCTTACGTGAAAAGAAGGGAAAAGCTAATTCAGTATTTGCCAAGACTTCTTCAGACTTGGTAAACACAGGGAGTCCTGCCAGAGTTGTCAGCTTCTTTCTCAAATCTCTGCTCACTCAGTGAAGCTCTTAATTTCATAAGCTAGACATTTTCAAGTTTATGCTTGTCCAAAAAGTAATGGAAATGTGTTATCCCCTAGTAGAACCAGAGTCCATAAAACATAAGGTCATTAAAGTCAAAGTAGGTGGGTACTTTGTATATTCAAAGAACTTGGCTTTTTATGACTGACTTTCTGGTAAGTGAGTGAAGATAGACATTTCACTATGGGCATTGACCCTGGGCTCTGTTTTGTTTTTTTTTTAATAGAATATTGAATTAAAGTCTTTGTCAAAGGCCCTGACTTGTGTTGTCAATGAGGAAAAAGGAGTCTGATGAAAGTTTGCAAGACACGGAAATGAATTAAGTATCCCTACGTGTCTCAAGTCCTGTTATGTGGCTGTGGCAGGTTGATTAATTAAGATCATCAGGCAGTACCCTCTATATCGAGAAGAAATCAGAGACTGAGCCATATCTAATGTGAGGAGTGTTAGACTTGGAGTCAGGAAACCAGAATTCAATCCTAGTTCTTACACTTAATAATCAAAGATACCTCTATTAAATGTCTGCTACGTGCGGTGCACTTTGTAAGTTGTGGGGAGGGGGGTGCAGAGACAAAGTGAGATAGTCCTAGTCCTCAGGGTCTTGTATTCTGTTGGGGGAGATAGGATGTACACATGCAATTAGATATAAAATAAATAAAAGATAAATTGGGTGTAAGGGAAAATTGACTGGGGGTCCTGGGAAAGGCTTTATGTAGAAAGTGGCACTTGGATTGAGCTTTGAAGGAAACTAGTTGTTCCTCGAGTCAAAAGTGAGGAAGGGAGGGTATTCCAGGCATGGGGGATAGCCAGTGCAAAGGCAGGGCAACAGGAGATAAGAGTTGTGTGTATGAGGAACAGCTAGCAGGCCAGTTTGCTTAGACCAAAGAATATAGGAAAGGGAGTAATGTAATGAGGCTAGAAAGGGAAGTTGGGCTGGGCTGCAAAAGACTGAAGTCACTGACCCAGGACTCATAGAGACAATAAAGACAATTTCCTTTCTTCCTTCCCTCATCTCTTCTTTCCTCCTTTCCTCCCTCCCTTCCTTCTTTCCTCCTTCCCTTCCTTCCTCCCTCCCTCTTCCACATGACAGTCAGAACTATGCTTTGGAAAAAGTCTTTTGTCTTGTGTGTCAAAGATGGGTTGGACAGGGGTGACACCTGAGGGGGGGAAATCAATGGGGAGGCTCTGGCAAAGTCCTGGACAGGAATCGGTGAGGGCCTGACCTCAAGTGGTAGTGCTCCAAGTCGCCGTAGGGCCATGGACCAATCGTGACTTCTCTGAGCGTTACTTTCATCCTCTGTAAGATGGGACTGCTAAACATCATAACCTGCCAGCTCTCAGGGTTGTGATGAGTTCTGAGCTTCATCATCCTCCCAGTGCCATACTGAGGTGAAGTGGTGGTAGCATAAGAAATCGAGCCTAGCTCACTTTGGTAATGGATCATCACCCCCTTACTTTTTTGGAGAACCTTGTGTTGCCTTATGAGATGACTTAGCCTGAGCATAAAGAAGAGCCAAAACTAGTGTCTTTTTTGTGACATGTGGCATGGTTCATTTCAGTCACCAGAGCCCTTGTTGTAGCTGCTGCCTCCTTAGACTACTGATTTGTTAGAACATGACTCAGGACTGAAAGAGCTTTTCCCTTAGCCACCAGAAAACTAGCAGCAGCACCAGAGCTGTAGCCAGGATACCTCTGGAGCTTAGCATCCCACTGAAAAATGGTCATAGCATTCATAGGAGTTAATGAGAATCTTCAGTGGTAAGTGAAGTGCTTAAGATGAAAAATGGCTAGATGAGGACAGGGGAATATTCCCTGTTGAATTAAACTTCCCTCTCCTCATCTTCCCCTAGGACTATATCTTAAACTCATTGGGCAAGGGATCTGGTCTCATTCTTGCATTTCCCTTAGGGCATAGTAGAGTTCTCACACATAGGTGCAGAATAAATACTCAATATTGAATTAATTGTTAATTTCCATAATGTCAAAGAATCAGGTTCCAGAGGGCCCTAAAATAATTTTCTGTAGATGTAAAGGCCCTTCTTTCTTTCTCATAAATAGTTTACAATAGTATTTATTTCCCAAACAGTTCTTTGGGATGCCTTTGAGAGTTTATTGCACACAAACACACTTGGCACACTCCTACCCTAGATTATCATTCTATACCCTGAGCTTGTAACCATGGTTTGTGCCTGCCACTCTACAGGCATCCCAATCACCACCATGTGGTAGAGGCGATACATTATAGTTTATGTAACTGAGCTGGAGCAAATCTTGCAGGAATTAAAGACAAGGAAAACCATTGCCTAGAACCTTTAGCTGAGGTTTCACTGACATTGATTCCTAAACTTCTCCATCTTGTGTTTCTGTGCCAGAATTCTTAGTGTACTTGTTTCTTTTTGTCATTTCTTTTGGTGTTAATTATGAAGTTAAAGACCGCTCAGCTTTCTGACAAGCAATTAACATGTTTCTCCCTGGAAACATCAGCTCTTTGTGTACCACCTCTTTAGAAACTCTCCTGCTACAAGTCCTCAGATTTTCCCTCTGCCATGCTGTTCCTTTCTTATGGTAGTCCTTGAGCTCCCCTAAATGGCACACTGTACCTCCCTTGAAGCTGCGTGTCACGGGGGCAGCTGGGTGTAGAGGAAAGTGCACAAAGTTGTGAGTTAGGAGACTTGACTTCTGGTCTTTTCTTTGCTACTTACTGATCACCTCTTTAACTTTGGACTAATCATTTCCTCTTTTTGGAATTGTTTCGTAATCTGAAAAATGAGGGGATGCTCCCTAAGCTCCTTTTGGTCTTTAGTATTCTAAGTATGATTCTATATTTCCCATTCTTCTATTCATGATTTATAATAACCCCAGTTCATTGATTTGACCCCTAGCATCAGTGAAGTAAAGTGGGACCCAGTTTTATCTCCTTCCTCATAATTTCTTATTTCTTTCATAACAGAATACTCTGTTGCAGCAACTGGGAATTGCTCCCTTTTCTGATGGCCCGTGGCCTTTGTACATCCATCCTCAGAGCTTATCGGTGCTCTCACGCCTCCTGCTCATCTGGCAGCACAGAGCCAGTGCTCAAGGAAACCCTGATGTTCCCGAATGCCTTCAAGTTTGGGAGAGGTAAGAAAAGTCCCAGAGAAATCTCCCATTGAAAAATTCTAACTTGTGACTCAGCTGACAATGGCTTTTTTAAAAAGTGAAGTAAATGTTTTCTTGACCTTTTTTTTTTTTTTTAACATTCCTGTCACTTCTTAGTGATCCCCTCCAACTCCACCTAAGAGAACTTTTCCTAATCACAAAGAGATACAACTAAAGAGAACAAATGATCCATTGGCCATTTCTGACAGTGGATATTTTGTTTCATATCTTTAGTTTACCACTTGTCCACCAAGAGGAGAAGCGTGCATCACTAGTAATTAAAGTTATACTTAATTACTGGACTGATTAGGCTTCTGAAGTCTTTCATTGTTGTTTTCCTTTACGTCTTTGTGGGCATTGTGTAGAATCTTCTTTTTATTCTTTTCACTTTACTCTGCAGCAAGTTATACAGGACCTCTCAAATTCCGTGGAATTCTTCATGTCCCTTGTTTCTTACCATGGAGTATTATTCCATTACATTCCTGTACCACCATTTGTTTAGCCATTCCCCAATAGATGGGCACCCACTTTGTTTTCAGTTCTTTGTTACGATAAGTTTTTGTGTATATATGACCATGATTTCCATGGCTCTCGAGGCTTGAGCTTTGGAGTTATTGACTATATAACCTCAGACGATGGGCGAAGATGCCTTGTATGTGATTCGGGAAGATGGGGTGCTTATGAAATAGACTGGTAAGATCTCCAAAGGAATCTTTCTTTAGAACATTAGGCATTTAGGATATAAAATCTAGGCTAAACTTAACTCTACCAGAAGTGATTTTTATCCCAGCCTATTAAAAAAAAATAAAAAAAGATGGAAGCAGAAAAGTAACCCTGTTTTCAAGTTATGTTCCTAGGAGTTCTGCTTGAAACCATTTAAAGAACTTGCAATCTTTTGGCCAAATTTTAAAGTTTTCTTTGCACTTGGGGGAAAACTCAGATTAATTGGTCACCTATTAAATCCTCTTTAGATGGATCTGGTTTTTGCCATTTTTTGTTTATATGTTTGTGAATCTTCAAAGCTGTTTGTGTTCCTAAAAGGCTTTGCCTTTTTATTCTCCTCTCTAGGATCAAATAGCTGTAATGCTGGATTTGTGAAATCATAAACCCATGTGACTGATCCCAGCAGGATCAGGCAAAAATGAGGGTGGAAAAGCCCTTATTAAAACACAAATCTCTTTCCTAATAGCCAAAGGGAGTGAACAGAATGCTGGCCACGTTCGTTGCTTTTTGCATTAAAGCTCTTTTCCCAAGTTTGCTCAAGGGTAAAATTTCCTCCTTTACTTGGTGCACAGACAGGATGCTGAGTTATTCAGAACTTTTTATGTTATGTTACGATTTTAATATGCAGCATAATCTCTGCTGGTGAGACTAGAACCAAATGACAGACTCACCGCAGGAAGAAGTAATGGCCTCCTTCCTGTTTGCATAGCCCAGTTATCATTATGCTTTTGGGCTGCTGTTTTTTTATAGTACAGTCCTTCTTTGTCTGCCTACTCTCTCATTTCTACTGATAAGGAGGCTGGAGTGGCTGCCTCATCACAGGACTCTGGGAACTGGCTTTGGTTGCCAACTGTGACATTTGTATTTTCAAGGAGAGATTTAGTTTCTGTTTCCTATCCATTCATGCCTGCCCCCCCACCCCCACCCCTGGGCTCTCTAACTTGATTACTGGATTTAAGAAATTTAATTGCTTATGGGTTTATTAACACTTCAACCCCAGGGATATTTGTTGATCTTACCTGAATGAGAGTCCCTTTCTTTTTTTCTGGCAGGTTTGTGGCCACACTGAAACAGAATGCCTTGCAAGGGGTGCTTCCCAATGATACAGAAGACCTGAATGTGGAGCATTTACAGCTTCTCCTCCTCCTTTTCCACAACTTCTCAGAGAAAGGTCGTCGCTCCATATTGGCCCTTTGCATCCAGACCATCCTGGAGCTGACAGCTAGCTTGGATTCTCAGCTGCATTCGGTGCCGCTGCTCCTGGCACGCCTTCTCTTGGTCTTTGATTATCTGCTTCATCAGTATTCCAAAGTCCCCATGTACCTTTTTGAACAGGTATGGCCCCAAATGTTCATTCCGTACATTTCGTTTTTTCCAATAAGTTGTGATTGACCTAAATAAAATCTACCCTATTTATAATGAAAGGCAGGATGGTATCATGGGAACATTGTCAGGAGACACCTGGGTTCAAATCCTGCCTGTGATTCTTACTAGCAAGCTACCTAATGTTACTGAATCTCACTTTCCTTATCTGTAAAAAGAAGATAAGAGAGTTGTGAGGATCAGATTAGATTTTATAAATATTTTATACACACACTCATATCTTACTTTGCCGGTTTTAAAGCAGTGTTTCTCTTCCCTCAGCTTAACCTCATATTCCACCTTCCTCCCTGTGCCTTCTTAGCCAAGGAGCTTGCTTCATACTTTACTGAGAAGACTGAGGCCATCCATAATGAAATCTCTCCTCTCTCCTCTTCTTCTTTTTTTTTTTTTTGTGAGGCAGTTAGGGTTAAGTGACTTGCCCAGAGTCACACAGCTAGTGAGTGTTATGTGTCTGAGGCCAGATTTGAACTTGGGTCCTCCTGACTCCAGGGCCAGTCCTCTATCCACTGCGCCACCTAGCTGCCTCATCCCCTCTTCTTTATAACAGAACTTCTCCACATCATCACCTAGTCTCTTTTTGTTTTAGTCTGTGATGAAGATGTGGCCTTTCACTTTGTCCAGGACAGCCCCTTGGGCTCTGGATTCCATCCCTGTTCTCCTTTGGGAGCTCACATCTTCCATCATCCCTTTTCTCTCATCTTCAGCTTCTCCTTATCTTTCCTGGCATCTTCAAACATATCTGCAGCTCTTCCCTATCCTTAACTTTCATTTGGTATCCCAGCCACTCAAACTGTGAGCTTGTGTTCTCTTTTTGTTCTTTTACGAACCTGGAAGAAGTTACCTGTAGGCATTGCCTCTAGTTTCTTCCCTTTCACTCCCTTTTGAATCCTCAGCAGTGTCTCCCACCCTCATCACTAAGTGAGACTGCTCTTCCTGAAGTTATCTGGGATCTCTCAGTTGCCAAACCTGATGGTCGTTTCTCACTTATCATCTTTCTTGACCTCTCTGCAGCCTTTGACACCATGGATACTCTGTCCTTGTTCACATTTCATGACCCTCTTTTCTCTTGGCTTTCTTCATTCCTGCTTGACTGTTTCTGTTCAGTTTCCATTGCTGGCTCATTGTTTGTGAAGCTTGCTCCCCCAAATCCACTTATCCCTCCAGCTTCTGTCCTGGGCCTCTTTCCTCTTGCTCTACACTTGCTTAGCTCTCGGACACAGAGGATTCCCACATAAAGTTATCCAACTCTTTTCTTTTTAGAACTCAAGTCCCACACCACCAGCTGGGCATTATAATTTATGTCCCATCACCATCTCAAAGTCAGTATGTCTAAAGTGAAAGTTGTCTTCTTTTTTCCTAAATCTCCTGCCTACTTTCTGGTTTCTGTTGAGGGTAACATGATTCTCCCAGTCTCCCAGGTTGGCAATTTTGGAATTATCTTCAACTCTTCCTTTTCCCTTCACTCTCTATATGCAGCAAATAAGTGGCCAAGTGTTGTCAGTCCTTTCTCTACAGTGTATCTCCCATTTGTCCTCTCTTCTCCATTCACATAGCTTTCACTATCGTCTGGGTTCTTATCACCACTTGCCTGTACTATTGTATAGGCCTTCTAATTGGCCTCCCTGTTTTTAATTTTTCCCAATTCTTATCAGTCCTCCACATAACTGCCAAACTGGTCGACCTAAAGCATGGGTCTGACTTTTTCACTCCTGTGCTCAGTAATCTTGAGGGGCATCTGGCCCCAACAGGTCTTGCCAGACTTATTTCACGTTCTCCCTTCTACACATATTGTAGGCCAGCCAAACTGGCCTACCTGCTGCCTTCTAAACTTGACATTCCATTTCCTTTCTGAACCTTTTCACAGGCTCCCCTCCTTTCCTGGAGTATGTGCCCTCTGCATTTTTTGTCTTTTAGAATTCTTAACTTCTTTCCAGGCTCAGCCCAGGTGCCATCTCTTGGAGTGAGGAAACTTTGCTGATGTCCTGCTAGTTAGGGCTCTGTCCCTTCTCAAAATCATGTTATGTTGACTTTTATTTGTAAAGTAAATAGTGTTTACCATTTTATCCACATAATGGAGGTGAAGAATAACAAGGGACTGATCTGAGAGGTCCACATTGTAGCCTCTTGATGTCTTGAGAAGATGAGGAAGGCCACCATCACAGTATCATGATGGATGGCGGGCCTCACTCCTCCTGTCCCTGCTGACCTCAGGGGAGGACATGAATAAGAGTTGCTTTGAACGAGCAGACGTGGATGATTACTGTGTATGACTTTGGAGGGAACTTCCATATCAAGAGATCACAGATCCATTCGAATACATAATTGAAGGTCCTTAAAGGCAGAGGTTGTTTTTTATTTTTGTCTTTATAGCTCTTGCACCTGTCACAGTACCTTGAATGTAGTAGATGTTTAATAAATGCTTGTTAAATTGAATTGTTAAAAGCATTATATAGCTAATGCTAATGCTAATAATAATATGATAATAATAATAATAACAATGTCCGGAAAAAGAAATTCTATAACCATTGTAGAATCAAATAATAACAAAAATGAAAACTTACATTAATATAGTGCTTTCAAGTTTGCAAGGCACTTTTTGTTCATTATTTCATCTGAGTGTCTTAACCTCTTCAGATAGCTACTACAGCTGTTAGTTATTATCCTTGTTTTATAGCTGTGGAAGCTGGGATGGAGAAGTTAAGTGACTTGGCAGGGGTCACACAGCTAGTAACTCCCAGAGGGCAGATTTTGAGCCCAGTTCTTTCAGATTCTAGGTCCAGGACTATGTTATACTGATTCTTGAATTTAAGGAGGATTCTTTTTGTTTCCTACCTACTCATTCATGCTGCAAGTTAAGTAAGCTTCTGCAGGATGATTTAAGTTAGCAGTTCTTATCATATCTCCTTGTGAGGGCACTGCTGAGAGTTAATGAACTCCTGCAGCTGGACAATTCCTTGTGGTACTTTGCTCTTCATTCCCCAGATGTGGACCTGACCACCCTATAGGGACATTTGTTGTCATTGTAAAGAGAAACAATGGGTTATAGTGGTGAGATTGCTGTGTTTGTAGGTGAGATGTCCTGGTGTTTGGCACCCTAGTTGTGTGACCTAGGTGAGTCCTTTAGCATAGCTCTGCCTCTTTTTCCTCCTGGGTAGGGATAATGATACCTAGCCTACATATTGACAGGTCTGTTTTGCTGCTCATATATGATCCTGTATTAAAGTGCTTTGCTAATTTTAAAGCATTATGGAAAGCCTGACTATAACTGTTACTCTCTCTTTCTCATCTTTTTCATTGGGGTTCAGGTGATTATTATTATTTTATTTTTGACTTTTTTCAAGCCGTCAGTACCTTGGAAGGATTACAGCAGAATTGGTGATAATGTGTTTCTCCTTTAAACTGAATCCTCATATGTCTTGTACAGGTGCAGTATAACCTTCTTAGTCCTCCTTTTGGCTGGGTAACTGGATCTCAGGAAAGCGGCCGCAGGGCCCCTGCGCCCTTGTATCATGGCTTCAAAGAAGTGGAAGAAAACTGGACCAAGCATTGTTCATCAGGTCAGAAGAGAAGAACTTTATAAAGCCCCTCTGGCTTCTTCAGCACATCTCACTGACAAAAGTAGAGAAGGAAGGAAGGAAAGAAACAAACCAACAAACAAGTGTTTATGAAGAGAGAAGGGTGGAATCAAAATAACTAAAAGAAATGTTGGTGATTTGGGTAATTGTCCTCCATTGAGGAAGACCAGCATCTCTCTAAGAAAGAGTGAGTTGATCCCATTAGACAAGATTTCCAGGTTTACCAAGCCCACGGCTCCCTACTGGGGAATCCAATGGTGTGCGCAGAGTTACGGCTGCCTCCCTAAGCTTCCATTTCCTGGAGAGGCTCCAGGGCCGAGGCAGTGCTTGTGCAGGCTCTTACTTGACCCCAGTGTAGACGTATAGAGACGTGGGGATGCCTGACTGCTAGAATTTCACTTCTTTGTTCTAATTTTGGATATGGTTCAGAATTTCTTTCTGAGTCTTGTATTGGAACTGTGAAGTTCCCACTTGTCCACAAGGCCTTTGATATTCCTAAGTGAGGATTTAGCAAACATTTATTAAACACCTCTATAGGGAGAGAGAATGCTGTGCTAGGCACTGGGCAAGATACACGGCTGAGATAAGACATAATTTCTATCCTTTCGGAGCTTCTTGTGTTTTATGGAGCTGGACACATAAACATATAAATATAAGCCATTACATGATAAATGCATTAGAGCAGTACAGAACAAAATGCTGTGTCAGGTGTCCAGTGTGTCCTTGCTATCTGTAGGTGTTGTCCTGGGGCTTTCAGAGAGGTGAGAGAGTTCATAGAAACATGAGCTTCAAGTCCACATTCCCAGAGTCTTTAGTTTGTTTACTCAGATTGCATCCTCTTACGTTGATCTTTTTGAGAGTTGTTGAACTCTTTTAGGTCAGTGAGGTGGTGGTTCTATTTAATATCAATGAGGGCACTCATTGTGCCCTTGGAAGTAACTGTGGGTTACTTCCAAGTTGCTGATTTTCATATGGCACCTTTGAGTCAGAGGAGAATGCACCTCTCCTTCTCTAATCATATGTTGAACACATGTTATCTTCCAGATGCTGCTCCACAGCCCAGATTTTATTGTGTCCTGTCACCAGAAGCCTCAGAAGATGACTTAAATCGCCTTGATAATATGGTATCAGGAACCCTAAGCCTTTATTTTATATCATGTGAGAGGGGGCCTTTGCACTCTTCCCCCTGACAGACTTATCAGATGGAAAGAGAATGACTGGCTGAGGGCTTTGCAGCGGGGATGCAGGCTTTGCACCAGAGGGACCACTTCTAGTCTTATGAGACCGCTTTTAGCTTGGAGACAGGTTCTGCCTGGCGACTATGAAAGGAGGCTTTTGGGTACTGTTGAGATTGTTCATGTTAACGGGCATGGTGAACTCCAGTGACTTCTGAGTGGTACTTGGGAGTGACAGCCAATGAATCTGATGGCCGTTATTGGTGGGACATTTTGTCAGCACTGAGGGGCGATGTGGCAAGATTTAGGAAAGGATGTTGGCAGAGGCGTGAGGAAGTCATGTTGTCCTTGTGTTCTGGCATTAGATCTGTGAGGTCCTCTTCTCCGGAGCAGTGAAATATGATGAACTGTATGGCGCCCTGACTTCTTTGCTAGCTGCCGGCTCTCAGTTTGACACCACCAGGAGGAAGGAGAATAAGAATGTGACGGCACTGGTAAGAACTCCAGAGCATCGGGCTGCTCTGTTCTGAGGGAGGGCTGGGGCAGGACTGCGTTACTGGAGGCCAGTGTTCCAAACAGAACCCTTCCTACTAAGGTCTGGGGTTTCACTAGTTAAGTTGAATATCAGTTGTTGAGTAAGTCTAATTCTTAATTTCATGTCAGAAACAAGCATCTGAATTATTTTTTATGTTTGGATAGATTGTATTGATGTGCTTTTATTAGTGTTTTAGTGAAATGAGCATTTGGGAATAAACAGCGGCCTAGGCACTGTGGGCTGACACCTGGTGGTGGCGGCGCCTCGGCACCTCAGTGGTCCTATGCTCACTGACCTTGTAGAGGGCCGCCTAGCCTCCCCATCCATGTCATGCTGGTGAAAGAGGGTTGTCCTGCACCGGAGGCTGACAGGCACTGTCAGCCTGACTGTCCAGCCTGAGTGCTGCTTTTCCAGCTTTCTACAGACATAAATGGTTTGGGTCTATCTTCACACAGAAGTGTTGGCTTCGTTGTGTTATGGGCAGGATTTGCAGGTGTAAAATGCATTTCCTGCTCTTTTATTGGGTGTATTGTACCAGGGATTTTCCCTTATAGCAGAGATGTCATACACAGACCTCATCACTCCTGGTGTGGCCTGAACAAGATAAAATATAGGTGGGAAATATTTAACCAAATAAATGAAAATACAGTAGAACATTTACGATGTTAATATGTGGTTTTCTAAGTCAGTATGTGGCCACAGGGGTCCTTAGGTAAGTTTAGTGGCCCCTGTTTCTATTTGAGCTTGATACCACTGGCCTAAAGCTTCCAGGTTGGAAGTCTCACAGCTGAGAGGAAGTAAAACTCCAGTTGGATCTAGGGACTTGATGCAGTGACAGTTTTGATTCTTGTATTAGGATAGTACTTTTACGTAGATATTGGAAGTGAATTAGGCCAAGTGCCACCTCTCTGACTCATTACTCTTGCGTCCTTCAGGAGGCATGTGCCCTCCAATATTATTTCTTGATACTCTGGAGGATCCTGGGGATTTTGCCACCATCAAAGAAATATATGAACCAGTTGGCTATGAACACGCCTGAGATGAGTGAGTGTGACATCCTGCATACTTTGCGCTGGTCTTCGCGCCTCCGGATTGGCTCTTATGTCAGTTGGATAAAGGTATGGTAGTGTCACGTGTAGTGTAGCATTGAGGGCTGTTGCTTTGAGCTGAGCAGCTCTGTAGGCAATTAAGGAGGAAGATGGCTACAGGCCCAGCCTAGATCATGAGCTCAAGAATGTTCTGAAATCAGATTCTTTCGCTGCCCCCCAAACAGGACCACCTTGTCCAGCAGGGCATGAAAACTGACCATGCTAGTTCTGTCATCGAGCTGGCCTCCAGCAAGTGCAGCTCTGTGAAATATGATGTGGAAATAGCAGAGGAGTACTTTGCTCGACAGGTAGGCTACTCTTTGTCTGAAGTGGTGTTGATATAGCCAGTGGGGCCTTCTTCTTAGGGCTCCTGACTAATGATGTCTGGTATTTTTAAGATCTCATCATTCTGTGGCATCGACTGTACCACCATCTTGCAGTTACATGAGATTCCCAGCCTGCAATCCATCTATACCCTTGATGCAGCCATTTCCAAGGTCCAGGTCTCTCTGGATGAGCATTTTTCCAAGTTGGCGGCTGAGACTGATCCTCATAAGTCATCAGAAATAACTAAGAACCTGCTGCCTGCTACATTACAACTGATTGATACCTACGCATCATTCACTAGGTGTAGTATATTGCTTAGAGAAATGGGGGGTAAGGACATTTTTCCTAGGGAATTCCAGGTTCTCCTAGAAGGTGCAGGTTCATTTTCTTGAACTTTATAGTTCTGATGCTGTGTACAGTACACCTGTTCACTCTTTGCAGCCCTGATGACTAAAGTTCATTTGGGGGGGGCGGGGGCTCCTTTTTCATCACTTTTAGGGATTTTTTTTTCCTTTGGTGCAGCATTTACTTCTTGTTCTCCATGGGGAGGCTACACATGCTTTGATTTTTAGTAATAGCTGAGGAATACTCTTTGAATGTGAGGAGGAGGTTCTGTTTCTGGGTAGAATCTAGATATTTCTTTTGGTTTAGTTACTGGTGGGAGTGGAGGTGGGGTACAGAGACAACAGGAGCAGTTTTTCCAAATACATTAAATTTATTCAGTAATTGGGAGAGTTCTTCTCACCGTCCAAATTTTGACCAATTTCAGCAGCCATTTATTAAACATTATTACATGCAAAGCAAGTGCTAGGAGCTGGGCATTCAAAGGTAAAAGATTGGCTTTAGTCCCAGCCCTCAGGGAACTTAGAATCAAATGATGAGGAAAGGCAGGCTTATACATTGCAGGTATAATGCAAGGCAGAATGGGAAGGATAAGGGCAGTGGAGAGAGCTAGACCAGTAGTTCTTAGTTTGTTTTAATATGAAGACCCCTTTTTTTAAAAAAATATTTTTTTTAATGAACAAAATCCATCTCTCCCTCCTATCTCTCTCTCATTGAAAGACAACAGAATCTTATAACAAATTTTTACAATGGCTGTGTCCAAAAAATTTATGAAGATCCTTTTTTACTGTCCAAATATTTCCCCACATGATAGTAGTTGTACGGTTAGTATCTGTTGATTGAGAAAACACATAATGACTAAATGCCAGTGCTTGGTGCTCACGTATATCCCCCTTGATTGTGACTCTGTGGCCCTCCCTGGGTCTGAGAGGCACAGGTTAGGAACCCTGGTCTAGAACAAGTGCCATTAGAAATTGGAGGAGGGGAGATAGCACTTTCTTCTGGGAAGTAGGGAAATCTTGATATAGGAGGTATCACATGAGCTAAACTTTGAAAGGAAAGACTACCAAGCAACCTGAAAAGGAGGCTTTCAAAGATCTGAGAGATTATTTTGAAAGATCTAGAATTCAGTTCCCTTTGCAGATTTTCTGTGCTAAAAGAACCATTAACAGTAATAAAAATGACTACATGTGGGTATCCTATAGTCGAAATGTTTAAGTTATTGAAACAAATGAAAATAATATTTAAAAATTTTAAAAGGTCTTATGATTAAGGAGTTTATGGGGCTTTAGGCTGCTTATCTCAGCATTGCTAGTGGAGCAGTGGACAAAATATGGCCCTTGGGTTGTTTCAAGTCCTCCAGACTGTTGGATCTTTCTCCATTGGAAGAATCAGCAGTGTTTTGCCTGCTGTTAGTAGTAGTGATTGTGGAAGGACAGACCATGTATAACAATTTTATTTCATTTCAGTAGCATCAGATTGCCATCAGAATTTTGGAGTAAGAGTCTTGTTAGTCTACTCTGCTGCGCTCTTATTCCTTATCCTTGTGCCTGAGATACCTAGAGATTTAGTGGCTTCCTGGTATCTTAAAGAGTTCCTTGGCTAAGATGAGAATAGACTCCCAGTCAATATATTTTTTGTCTTGATTCCATTTCCCCACATTCTTCCCACAGGTCTTATTTGCTGCAAAGCCTCTCTGAAGAGGGTTCCACTGAGAATAAGCCTTCTGAAGAGAAACTGGGAGGTTATTCTGCTGTCTTGGCGATAGGCTCGAGCCGGTGCAAGTCCAATACCTTGGGTAAGGGGCGGCAGCCAGCTGAAGGGTTGGGTTTCTGAAGAGGAGACTTAGGGCAGAGGAGCCTTTCAATTCTTGGTGCCCACACCTGTGTAGGCCATTATCTTCTGTGTGGCCATGGGCAGCGGCCTCCTGATTGTTCTCTTTGCTTCTCATTTCTCCCCATCTAATCCATCCTTCATACTGCTGCCAGTATACAACTTTGGTTAGGTGAACTCCCTGCCCAGATGCTGTCAGTGGCACTGCAGTGGCTGCCTAATAAAATAGAAACTGCTGAACTGTGATGAACTCAGGAGACATTCAGAACTTTGCAGTCTCTCTTCAGCCTACCCTTTCATTTTTATTTATTTCATGCTATACCCCTTAATTTACTTTGTATTCCAACCCAGTTACTCCTTGGTCTTGTGTCCTGTGGCCCATTCCAGTTCTCCCCTCTCCCTTTTCCTCTGCCCAAGTCTCTGTCTATTGGCATACTTTACTTCTCTTTCAAAGTCCAGGTGAGATACCATCTTCTCTGGTCTGTCATTGTTTCTCCATGACAAATATGATCTTCTCCATTTCTACTTACTGATATTTTTCTCCTCCTTTAAACTAGAAGGACCAGAATTTAAGAATACCAAAAAGAACCAAGCAAATTTTTGTGTCATTTGATGTGCCTGATCCTTTTAATCCAGATTAGATGATTCTGTCTCTGTAAAGCCTTCTTTGATTCCCTCAAATAATTTTTCTCCAAATTCTTAGGGTGGGTTATGCAGTTATTTATTTTATTCCTTAAATTATAGTTGTTAAGGCCAGTCAATAATAAACATATTAAGTGCCTACTATATGCCAGACACTGTGCTGTTGGGGTGCAGAGGAAGACAAAAGACAGTCCCTGCTCTCAAGGAGCTCAGTGTCTAATGGGGAGGGCCCATGCAAACAACTATGTATAGACAAGTTGTGTACAGGATGAGGGAAGGCACTAGAATTAAGATGGGTTGGGAAAGGCTTTCTGTACAAGGTGGGATTCTTGTTGTCACTTAAAGGAAGCCAGGTGGCAGAGATGAGAGAGAGTCCCCCTGTAATGGGGACAGCCAGGGAAAATGCCCAGAGTTTGGAAGTGGAGTGTCTTGTTTGTGGAATAACAGGATGTCACGGGATCGAGGGTGTAAGAAGTCTATAAAAGTGTGTGGAAGGGGAAAGTTAGGAAATACTTTGAACACCAGGCAGAAGATTTTATGTTTGAACTTGGAGGTGACACGGTGTTCCTAGAGTTTATTAAGTGGTGCAAGCTCTCATCACCTCATTTCTGCTGGGGATTCTGCTTGCCTCAAGTCTCTCCCCACTGCAGTCTTTCTTCCATTCAGCTGTTAAAGTCATCTTCCTAAATTGCAGGTGTAACCATGTCACCCATCCTACTCAATAAACTCTAGTGGCTACCTTGGTTTCCTTATCTGTAAAATGAGGATAATAGCGGCACCCACCTGCCAGGTTTGTTGTGAGGACAAAATGAGAGAATATTTGTAAAGGTGTCCGCCACATAACAGGTGCTATATAAATGCTAGCTGTGGTATTGTTGTTACCGTCATCATCATCATTACTATTTGGTCTATACCTATGGTTTCATTGATGTGAAGGATTCTCAGTAAAGGAACTCCCTCTGCCAAAGGGAAACAGGCGGTACCCCCTGTCCTTTTTTTTTTTTAAACAACTTGGGTAGATAGTCTAAATGTGTCTGGAGTTCTGAGAGAGTCTGTGACTTTTCAAGGCTCCCATAGCCAGTAGATTTCAGGGAGGGAAGTTGAACCCAGGTCTTCCTGATTCTGAGACTCATTTGCTAGCCATTATTCCAAAATGCCTCTTATTTATTTGGCAGCTTGGTGGTAGCGGTATTTGCTATAGTTTCAGTCAGATAGAAAGAGAGATTTTCACTTTTTGTCTTGTACCTCTTTATTTTCTTTCAGATATTATGGTAATACTATTGAAAAGCTTTTTCCTCTGCATTTGGGCTGAAATTTTAAAACAATAGGGCCATTGAATTTTCCCTTCTCTCTTGTGATGGTTTCTGTTCCTTTCTCTTGCCTGCAGGTTCTACACTTGTTCAGAACTTACCATCATCTGTGCAGGCCCTATGTGAGTCATGGAACAATATTCACACAAATGAGTTTCCCAATATTGGATCCTGGGTAAGCAAGTTTATAGTGCTTCTTGGAACAGCAGTTATATGAATGCTGCCTGCAGTGTCTATGTTCTTTTCCCTTTTTTTGGCCACCACATGGATTCCAAGAAGATCCTTACACATAGTAGTCATATGTGATGCCAGAATCCATGTATTGTAGTGCCCAAGGGGTGATGCCTCTGTTCTGAAAGCTCACATGTGCTTTGGAGCAGATAGAAGGCGAGTCAGGAATCAGGCTTGCTCTGTGTTACACTATGGGGCAGTTTCTGACTCTAAGTTTTCTCAACCCTATCAGAAAAAAAAAGATGGTAAAGTCTGTTACCCAGTATTCTGTTGACTAGCAGTTTATAAGTTATGTCCACATCTGGAAGACAACTTGGTCTTTCATTGACCAAGAGTTCTAGACTTGGCTTTGCCACCAGCTGTTTGACCTTGAGCAAGTTACTTAGCTCTGTGCTTTAGTTTCCTCATTTGTAAATTGGACTAGATTTCTTAGGCTCATTTTAGCTTTCATATCCCATGGTTCTGTGATTCTAAGGATAATTATGTTCATTTTGATGATCTTGACACATTTCAAGATCCTGGAGCTCCTTCTGAATCACGTAAGAAGGATTAAGTTCTTTGAGAAAAGTTGATCACTCATATACATTATATGTGGTAACTGTCATCCTGAGGCAATAACCTCCATTCCCTGACCATAGTGGATAGCAGAATTGAATCCTGAATAAGAGTGCTCTTGTTAATATCTCCCCCACAAGTGGTCATCCTTGTGAGATGGCTCCATCATCTGGTCTTGCTGTGACACAGATTCCTTGACTGAATGCTTTTCAAAACACATGAATGTGTTCATCTTTGGTTTTGACCACCTTCCATTGAGGTGGGCAGGGCAGGAATTAGTCACCTAGAAATTGGTTGGTTGCTTATCATGTTTTCAGTGTCTTATTTTAAGTGTATAGCTATTTCTTCATTCTCACATCGCTAAAATACAGTCATTAGTCTGTAAGCCCTGATGGCTTCTTCTGTTGTCATCTTTCTTCAATGAGAAAATTTGATCATGTGTAGACTATGTGGTCCTTATGCCTTATATGATATTTGTGTTCTGCTTCCTTATAGCGTAATGCTTTTGCCAATGACACAATTCCAGCAGAGAGTTACATCAGTGCTGTGCAGGCCGCCCACCTGGGGACCCTCTGTAGTCAGAGTCTGCCCTTGGCTGCTTCCTTGAAACACACACTTCTTTCTCTGGTCAGGCTGACTGGTGATCTTATTGTGTGAGTACTTTATATAATTAAATTCAAAGTCTTCTGTGCTTTTTGCCCTAGCTCTTTAGCTGAGAAAACTATCTATATCTAGAGAAAATATGTGAGGGAAGGGATTGGGTGTTGGTATTAATAGACCTTTCTCGTGTTCTTGTCTAGTAGAAGAAACCTGTACATTTGGCCCTTGGAATGAAATCTGTTCACTTTGAGTCATCTTTCTGGTTTTAAATTATACAGAAGTGAGAGTATAGAGGGAAGGCTTAAAGTCCCAAGGACGAGGTTTTAAGATTCAGATCTGTCACTGAACTAGTTAAGACCCTTTGGATAAATAACTTGACATTTCTGTGCCTTGGTTTTCTCCTTTCTTAGAATGGGGCAATAATACTTGCACTGCCGACCTCAAGGAGGAATTTGAGGAAGGTGATTTGTAAGCTGTGAGGGCTCCATCAGTGTGAGCTCTGAGGATGCTAGGGTAAAGGCAGCTCCCACCTCTTTTCCTACATGTGACCTCTGGAAGGAGGTACAATATTTAAATAGCAACATCACATAGATGTGGGGAACAGTAACATGGTGGGCAGCTGTAATTTGAAAGATTGTTCATAAATACCAGGAGGGGCTCCAGTGTTCCATTGTAGTGGAGGAGACTGACATAGGGACTGTTTGGTGTTTTTGTGAACAATCCACATAAAATTAGGGCCATATTCCCTGGAGAAGAAATGTCAGCCAAAATGCTGAGGTTATATTTTTGTCCAAAGTCTGCGTTTTTGGAGGCAGATCAGTTACTTTGTTGGTTTTGAGATATCTTTTCCCTTGGTTTACATCTGTCATACAGAATATTCATCTTTTCAGTAAAGATCAGTAAGTGTTTCCATTTAGAAATGCTCGAGTTGTGCTGTTCCTAGCAGGGTCTCAGAAGAAACTGACCTGGTTCCTTTTTCTTCCCTGAAGTTGGTCCGATGAGTTAAACCCTCCCCAGGTGATTGGCACACTGCTGCCCCTTCTCTTGGAGATGAGCACTGAGAGCGTGGCTGAGATGAGCAGCAACTCCCTAGAAAGGATCCTGGGCCCAGCTGAGTCAGATGAGTTTTTGGCTCGAGTCTACGAAAAGCTCATCACGGGGTGTTACAACATTTTGGCCAATCATGCAGACCCTAATAGGTGAGTCTGATTTAGTACTGTTAGCTTCTGCCAGCTCCTTTGTCATTGACGTTAGGCAAGGTAATGGGATTCTTGCAGATGGACACAGCAATTTTTTTCCTGATTCTTGGACCCTTGCTCTATCTTCAGCCAAAATGCTGGATGACAGAAAAGGGTAGGGCCAGCATTTGAATCCTGCCAGGATTTGTGATAGATTCCTGTGTCATATTATACCTTTCCAGAAAACTGTATAGTGTGTTTTTGTCCACTTATGACAGGTCTTATAAATGTTCCAATAGGGAAATGAGTACCTGAGCCTCGTACCCATCATCTCAATAGTGAGGGGACCAGGTTTGTTCACCACAATCTTTATTTTTTTCTTGGGCATTCTGCCTTCTTCCTCTTGAGGAACTCAAAATTATTAGCTAGGCAAATGTGGTGATTTGTCTCCTGTCACTCAAATGTATCCAAGCCAGAGACAGGATTAGAACTCATAGCTTCTATTACTTGTATCACTGAATCATGTCTTGGCAAACAATTGAAATTTAGTGATTCTATTCATTAACTCAGGGGGCATAGAGGATAGGAAAGTCAGATCACAGAACCATTATTTAGAAATGGTTTGTAACTTTAGTGTCTTTGTTGATTCTTGGACACTGCTCTCACTGTATTTGACATTTTCATATTTCATTCCTGTGTGGGCATTATGAATTCTTAAAAAGTCATTAGAATGCACCTGACTGTTCACAGTCATTTTCTCCTTTTTGATCCTCAGTGGACTAGATGAGTCCATCTTGGAAGAGTGTCTCCAGCATCTGGAGAAACAGTTGGAAAGTAGCCAGGCTCGCAAGGCCATGGAGGAGTTTTTCTCAGAGAGGTGAGACCTTTTGGCATCCTTCCTGGGGTGTTGCCTTCTGGGAGGTCTGATTAGCGGCCTGTGTGCTTGGGGAGCAAGGCTACTTTTATCTCCTGCTCTCTAAGGGAGAGAGGGAGGGAGGGAGGGCTTCATGGCCTGAACCAGTCATGCTCCAAAGATGAATGGTTCCACTGGAAAGACAAGTGATGGTGAGGAAATGGAAATGGATGCCTTTTGTGGGGCTTAATGCGATTCTTCTGTTTTTCTCTCCCTTCTGTCTCCCAGTGGAGAACTTGTCCAGATCATGATGGCCACAGCCAATGAAAACCTCTCTGCTAAATTCTGTAACCGAGTTCTGAAATTCTTCACCAAACTCTTCCAGCTGAGTGAGTGACAGCTTTTAATAATCTCCTTATGGGAACTTTGATGTCTGGCTAATACTGGGCCACCTTCTGCCAGAGTGTCACAGCAGCATGAAAATGTGAACAAGTGGGGAGAATCTTTCCAGGAGAATTTTTGGAGGGAGACAGAACACTCAATTAAAATGGCCTCCCCTTTCCCTCCCCCACATTTCCTCCCTCTCGCCTTTCTTCTTACCCTTTTCTGGCCCCTGTTGTGTTGACCGCAGCCCTTTGCTCTTTCCTCAGCCGAGAAGAGCCCTAACCCCAGCCTGCTACATCTCTGTGGCTCTCTCGCCCAGCTGGCTTGTGTGGAGCCTGTGCGGCTCCAGGCTTGGCTTACCCGCATGACCACATCACCCCCCAAGGAGTCCGACCAGCTGGAGGTGGTGCAAGAGAACCGGCAGCTGCTGCAGCTACTGACCACATACATCGTTCGGGAGAACAGGTAGAACGTCTTGACCTGATGTGCTTCAGTGCCCCTAGAAAACTCCAGGAGGATGTGCATGGCACTGAGCCTCTCTGTTCCCCCCTCTGCTGTCAGTCCCATCCTTTGAGATATCTTCCCATTCCCTCCTCTTGTCCTCTCTCCCCAACCATGAGCCCCAGCACAGCTCCTCAACTTCATCCCGGGTACAGCTCCCAGAGAAGGCTGCTCTAATAAGGGCTATGTGCATGACTGTGCTGTGATTTTGTCTAGCCAGGGTGATAGAGCATGAGTTTTTTAAAACTGAGGGTGACTGATGGGCAGACTGAGCTCCTGTTACATGCTCAAATCATGCCCACGGCCTGGGTTCTGTTTGCCTCCAGTGTGTCCTGCGCCTCAACCAGCTGACGGCCTGATTTCCCGTTGGCATCTCATTGCTTCACTGTTTTCTGTGCCCCGTAGCCAAGTTGGGGAAGGCGTTTGCACTGTGCTGCTGAGCACCCTGATCCCTATGGCGACAGAAATGCTGGCCAATGGGGACGGCGCTGGCTTTCCTGAGCTCATGGTTGTGATGGCGACACTGGCCAGTGCGGGCCAAGGTGCCGGCCACCTCCAGCTTCATGGTGCTGCTGTGGACTGGTTGAGCAGATGGTAAGTGGAAAAGAAATGGAGCAAGTGAGCAGTGAGCCCTGGAGCTGGGCCTTGGTGAAGGTGAAGCCATGCTGCTGCTTCCCCTCGTTCGGAACTCATTCAGCTTGAGCAGACTCAACCAGGCGCCCGTTGTGCTGGGGGGAGAAGAGTCTGGGTGGGCTGGGCTCCTTCTCTTCATGAAGCTTACAAACACTGAGACGTAGAGCCATCAGATGCAATACTAAATGTCTTTAGAGAATTTCAGAACAGAGTTCTCAGAGAGGGGCGGCTGAGGGATTGATGGATCATTGGCATATCAGGGAACGTTTAGCTGAGAAAGTTTGAGTTGGGCTTTAAAAGACACATAGGGGTTAAACATACAAAGTATATCTTCCAGGTGCAAGAAAGTGTGCAAGTAAATCATGGAGACAAAAGAACAAAGATGTGTGTTTGGGGGTGGAGCCAGGACTGAGGAGAGTTCAGTTTCACTAGAACAGAAAATGTGTGTGTGCTTGTGTGTGTGCGCAATGTGTGTTGTGTATGCACGCGTGCATGTGTGTTGGTGGGACAAGTAGGGCAGCACCAGATTGTATAGGGCTTGGAATGTTGGGTAAAGGAGTTTTATTTTTGTTACGTAGGCAAAAGGAGGTAAAACACTGAAGATATTTGATCTATTGAGCGATATGATACAGTCTGTTAGGAAAGTTAGTCTGCCAGTGGTTGAGGGAAGTATTGAATGTATTGTATAGAGTGCTGGGGGGATTCCTGAGGGGAGGTTGTTGTCCAGGTTAGTAGTAAAATGAGCTTATACTAGGTTTGTTGCAGAGGGGTTAAAGAGCAAAGGGGGATAGATGTGAGAGAATGGGTTTGAGTAAGGAAGAAAATGTAACATGCTGTGGCATTTTCTGTATGATGATTCAGTGTCATTGATTTATTACATTAAAGTAGTCCTGAGCATGGTACACAATCCTCACAGCTTTCTTAGACTGCATATTATCATTATTTTGCTGATGAGAAGACTGAGGTATGGGACAAATTGATGGGAAGGGTGAGTGATAAAGGCCCATGTGGTTTAACTCTCAACCTGTCGTTCACTCTGTTAGTCCATTCCGTTCAGTCTTTTTCTATAAGCATTAATTTGGATTTCTACATTTACCAACTGGGCTGGGAATTGAAGACCTGGTGGAGTCAGGAAGATGTTTCCTCTCCCTGGACACCTCAGTGTTTCTGTATTTCCTTTCCTCAACAGTAAGAAATACTTGTCTCAGAAGAATGTAGTTGAAAAAATGAATGCTAATGTAATGCATGGGAAGGTAAGAAAATTGGGGAGCAATTATTAGATTGGGAGGGTGACAATTAAAACAATTGGGGAGGACCTGTTTAACCTGGGAGGGTGTTGATTGATTCTTGTCTTCAGTTCGCCAGGAAGTCATTGCTTCTCAGCCCTGGTCTCTGTCCCTGGTGTCCTATGGGAAGATGTGTGTAATTGTCAACTGCATGCCTTTAGGCCTTTTCAAGGTGTCAGGAAGTGATAGGAGGCTGCAAATATTCTGAAAAACAGGCTTTCAGTAGAGCCCTTGCTGATATATCAGTGGCTGCTGTTTAAAAAAATATGTTGTCATGGTACAGAAAACTGTCTTTCCTGCTTCCATCAGGCACCCCCCTAATCAATGCACACTCTGAGTGCATGGTGACCTTCTGGATTTCCAAATGTTTCTCCACCAAGCCTCCCAGGGGGCTTTAGGCACACAAGTCACTCTGCTAGGATCTATAATTCCTGCATCCAGGTGACATTTCATTCCCTGTGGAATGGAAGAACCCTGGGTGGTTGGCTGAGAGCACGTGGTGGCCCCTTCTGCTTGCCGTGGGAGCCCTCTTAGGTGCCAGTTCTCCTCTTGGCAGTCTGTCCTTTTAGCATGGAAAGGTCACAGAGGATAGAATAAAGTAACTTGGGTTTCTGAGGGTTAGAGGTCAGGCTGTTGTATTTGAAAAAGAGGTATGAGGAATTTGCTACTAAACTCACTCATGATCTCTCCAACTGCTCCCTATTTCTCCCGACGTAGTGGTCTGAGCCTTTATTATGTTTAATTACAGCCACTAGGTGGTGCCGCGGCCAGAGGGCAGCACTTGGAGTCAAGAAGACTCAATTCAGATCCTGCCTAATGTAGTCACTTGTTTATTTGCTATGTGACCCTGAGCAAGTCACTTCATCTCTCTCATCCTCAGTTTCCTCATCTGTAAAATGGGGATAATACTAGCGCCTACTTCACAGGGTTGTTGTGAGGATCAAATTCAGATGTATCCTGTAAAGAGCTTTGCAAACCTTAGAGCACTACCTAAATGCTAGCTGCTGTTATTATTGTTAATTATTCTTAAGTGAGTATTGCTATCAGTGGAGGATAAAGGACTAATTGAAAGTTCCTAAAGTCCCAAGAGGAGGGTTGGGGAACAAAAGTGAGAGAGAATGAAGGAAAAAGAGACAAAACTAATCAAGAAACAACAACTTAGGAGGCGTAAAAAAGGTCCCATACTCATTGTACAAAGGTGTGCAAACTGACAAGGGAAAACATACAAAGAGCCATGTAAATGTAGATGATGTAAATGAAAAAAGGAACTTTTTTCATTGGGAAAAGTGCATAGTACTTGATTTTACATAACAGGAAATAGTTGAGAAGTGTAATTTCTGAGGAATCATGGTCTTCTTTTATAGCATGTGACTATTCTGGAATGTACCTGCCATATTGTATCTTACCTGGCTGATGTCACCAATGCCCTGAGCCAGGGCAGCGGTCAGGGCCCGAGTCATCTCTCAGTGGATGGAGAGGAGCGGGCCATCGAGGTCGACTCAGACTGGGTAGAGGAGCTGGCGGTAGAAGAAGAAGACTCTCAGGCCGAGGACTCAGTAAGTCTCCTCTAAGGCAGCCCACTTTACGTTTGAGGGTCATTTGTTGAAAGGACAGCTCCCATTTAGGTTTTTAATCTATGCTGATAGAGCCCAGCCTTAAAAATGTTGTCTTCTCCAGGCTCAGCAGCTGCTGGGACCTCAGGCAAAGCTGTTTCCCATAACTGCTCACACTCAAAAACTCTTGATTTTCAGCAGATTTTGGAAGAGTGAGTTATGAAAACCTATCCTTCTGGAAGGAGGTGTTGTTCAATTGGGAGATACCATTTTATGTATCAAGTGAACTTTAATAGAATTTGGGGCAGAGGTTGTGTGAAACCTTTGTATAGGAAATACAAGTTTAATTGTTATCTTGACCACAAAACAAATGAGGCCTCTACTGATACTTGCAGTAAGTTTTGTTTTCAGTCTTCAACTCTTGCTGCGTTGGGTTTCACTGACCATTTACAGTCTGACCAGAAGATTTCCGGATGGATGGAGGAGTGGGGGGAGAGAGAGAGAGAGAGAGAGAGAGAGAGAGAGAGAGAGAGAGAGAG